GCTTGCTGGAAATCATTTCCACTGGTCAGTATCTGCGCTGAAAACATGCTGATAACCAAGCTGTGCTGTGTATTGGGACTTCATGTGTTGTGGGAGATGGGAGAGTTGTCAATAATTCATAATCCATAGTCCTAGTTCATAGAAAGAAAGAAAATCAGAGTCCCTTAAGTTTCAGAGCAGGTACCGCAAAGCGCCTCATCTGAAATTCAATCTGATTGTCTGCATGCACTATTGATGAGGATTGCTTGGCCGTGTGTTTGTACCGACTACATGGTTAATTTAAATCATTGATGTCCTACTAGTCGTGTGTACTTTAGCTGCTGACACTCTAGCGAGAGATGGAAACGCATACCTCGAGAGGCGGGATATGATAGGGGTCAAAAGGAAACCGTGTGAAAGAGACATGAGTCATTCGTAGGGATTGATGGAGGGTTAAGTTACAATGTGATGGAGGAGAGTCTACAGCACACAGTTAATGTAATTTCGCCACATGCTGTGATCAATCCACATTGACTCCTTTAATGAGACGGAGACCGATCGCACACATCGCCCTCCCTGACACCAAATCCTGGAAACCGACGGGGATTAATTCTCCCAGAAACTGCATGCTATCACTGGTCCGCTGTGACTCAAAAAGGGAGAAGATTAACCTATGTAGGGAGGAGTTGTTAGTGTTTTTTGTCACGGGGCTAATAGATTCATATATTCTGCGCTGCTATGAAATCAGAGAAAGAGAGAAAGTAGTTCCCGTTATATAACAGCTGCAGACTTTGCAAAGCTTCTCCAGAGCAACATAATGTTATAACACTATATACAAAAGGAAGAATAGTCTCCTTTTATTACAAGTAAACCAGTATATGCTAAAATGGTGGTTCCTTTAAGTCTCCTATAGTTTCACAGGGTTAGCATGTTTCCAAACACATTTAGGATAAAACAAATTATTATTCAACCAGATAAATAAGCATTGAGATAAAATCGAATTTGCAATGCTGACCTGGCCAAGAAGGCAGCAACGTTACACATAACACATACATATAAAATACAGAGAACATAACTAAGAAAAAGCAGTCACTATATTGTGCACATTTGGACAGTAAGAAAGGTACACTACTTATTACTGCAAGAGCAGCTGGTGGTGAGGGCCTCAGACAACTTCAATTTAAAACATGCTATAGAGACAAGTGCCCTCAGTTTGAGGCGTGATTGAAGGTCATTCCAAGACCAAGGACCATAATACAAAAAGACTCCTTTCTCCAGCCTCAGTCCGCACAGCAGGAACCTGGACCCGTATCCAGGCACTGGGTCTGAGGTTGTAAGAGTCACAAACTGGAGCAAATCTGGCACATATGTAGAGTGGAAGCTTACCTAAAATGGCTTTATACATTCATATAATATGTGCGGCGTTTGGCACAGTGAGTTGTGCGCAGGTGTTCGGATCAGGTTCAAACCCCACTGCAGTCAGTATGTCGTTGTGTCCCTGAGACACTTCACCCCAAATTGCTCCTGTGGGGATTGTCCACAGTATTGAGTATGTAAGTCGCTTTGGATAAAAGCGTCTAACATGTAATGTAATGTAATAAAAACCAGTGCTGCATCCTACGCATGGTAAGTGAGGACCATCCAGTTAGGCTATACAGTTTGCAATGATGAGTCCTATAGGGTGCATTTGATATATAACGCAGTGCAGCATGGTAGAGTGGGTCAAGTTTGGCCAAAACAGTGGGACAGGCAAATCTATTTACTTTACACCAATGGAGAGACTCTTATCTTTGTTTTCTGACAGGGTTTTTTGTAGATAAATGCAGTCAATTAGCAAAGTGTCAACATGAGACATGTGTGTAATCGCCAATAACTGGTTAAAATGACCAATGGGAATAAAAGGAAGACGTTGGCGGCCACAAACACCTCTAGGGCTGATGACAATTTTCATTATAAATGAGTCTATTGATTATTTGTTTTGATTAATTGATTTAATATTTAGCTTTTAAACCCAATTTACAACGATATGAAACAGATAAGGCAGCAAATCTTCACATTTTGGAGCTGGAAATCGATATTTATGAGGGATAAAATAGTGTATCAATCACAATTATTGCAGATTTGTGCTTAGAAATGATATCATAAAAAGGTAATTGCTATCTTAAAACCAATTTTTTTTTGAATATTACTCGATTTATTCCCACATAATTGGCCCAAATCCAAAAGATATCTAATTTACAACGATATAAAACAGATAAGGCAGCACATTTTGGAGCTGGAAATCGATATTTTTGAGGATTATTGCTTGATAAAATAATGTATCTTTCACAATTATTGCAGATTTGTGCTTAGAAATGATATCATAAAAGGTAATTGCTATCTTAAAACCACATTTTTTACAATATTACTCTATTTACTCTCATATAATTGGCAATAACCAAGCACAACCAGACTGGCTCCACCGTTTTGGCGGACCCCAAACACACCACTATACGTTCGTGGCTCGGTGCCAAATCTCTTTCCTCCTCATGCTGGGGGACCCATCTGTATCCTGTGCTGACTAAGACTTTCCCTGTGTGCTAACCCATCGTGGAAAACATGTAGGAAGAATTAGTAAAAATAAAAGGGATGAATAATTAACGAGCAATTCTAATTTCAGTTCAGTTTTAGTTATAAGTGTTGGGACGATTCCAGTTATGTAACGTCTTCAGTAAGCCATGCTCACTGCAGTGGACGTTTTAATCCTCATTAATAGTATTTTACATTTTGGTGCGTACCTGATATATACGGAGCATCGATGGACATGTGTTCGTGCCAGCTTGGTGCGGGCGGGTTTCATTTCAACGCCACAGCGGGCAGAGAGAGATCATGGCATGGCCCTGAGAGAGAGAGAGGGAGAGAGAGAGAGAGAGAGAGAAACAGAAATAGGAGAGAGACTGTTAGCTCGGGTAAGTGGATTATGGGATGTGGAAGGAAGGAGGAAGGGAGGGGCTCTTTCCTCCATCTTCACTTCTCTGGTCAAATACTACTTGAGTCAATGCTAAATAAAACAGTTTCTAATAGGGCTGTGCAATTAATCGTATTTTAATCGCAATTACGATTTTGGCCTGCCACAATTACGAAAACAACATAATCGAAAAAAACGATTATTTTGCTTTGCTAGGTTGTGACTAGAACATATTTGATCTAATGTATTTGTATTTATCATATTTATATATGTTTAGTAGCTTGTGACAGTGCGCTCCAAAATATTTGTTGATCTTGTTTATTGGTATTTATTATTTTGATATTATTTATTTCAATGTAGATATAAATGTATCATTTATTTTTGTATTGGTTTTTCAGTTGAATTATACGTTCAGGGAAATCAACAGTTACTGTTCAAATTATTATTTGTATTTAAAAGTTCAATAAATGGATGTTTTCAAAGTCATGAATAATCGTATTTAATAATCGTGATATCAATTATTGACCAAAATAACCGTGATTATGATTTTTGCCATAATCGCACAGCCCTAGTTTCTAACCTATTTTACACACTGTAATAACTCGAAATCTTGCTAAGTATAATTGTCTTATCTCTATTCAGAATATGTCTTCCTTATCCTGGTAACAAATATAGCTCAACATACAATTCCCCAGCTAATTATAAGATATCATGTATCCAAATATCCCATATTACTTGAACCAATGCAAAAATAAAACTGTTTCTAAGCATCCTATTTTACACACTCGGAAAAACTTGAAATCTTGCCAAGTATATTCGTCTAATATCTAGTCAGAATATGTCTTTACACTTCCCTATCCTGGTCAAATATAGCTCAAAATACATCTCATAAGATCTAATATATCCAAATATTATTTCAAGAAATCTTATCCAGCAAATGTTCACTTACTCTATTGGCAGATAACTTGATTTTAAAGCAGCATATCTTCCATTTTAAATGCATTTTAATATACAATAGCATCCTTAAAAATGCTTATTACCCTATCCCAACAGTATCCTCATGGCTGGACTTAAGTACGTGTTGCCTTAGGTGCCAGATAGTGAGCGTTTATTACACAGACAGATACAAATACTACACATTTGCAAACACTTAAGTAATCTAAAAGCCCATTTGTACAATTTTAATTTGAGCTCAGTAGTTTGAAAATAGTCAAACACAAAGCTTTTATATACTACAATTTGCCTTTTGATATCCAATCTTTGTATATATTGCATTTGGGGACTGGGGAAGTAACACTTTGTCAAACGAATTGGGTTAAATCTAAGAGAAAAGTGCAATACATTTTCACTTAAAGTACATATATCCATGTGTACAGTACATAAAATGCATCAAGATACAATCAAAGTACAAAAAAGCCAATGGAATAAAGTCGTGTAAATCTCAGGAATCAGCCTTTTTTTAAATGAAATAAAACACAAGCGTTTGAATCACTGCTTACTGGGAATACACGACTGTTGATATATATTAAAGGGAGGTTTTCTGTGAAAGCTGCAGCTCCATGAGTCACGCTTGTTGTTGTACGACAGCATATCGATGTTAATGCTTTCATGAAGGGAGGGCAAAGGATCTTGGGAGAGTTTGGCCGCAGCGTATGGACCAGTTGGCTCTCGCTCTGTAAGCAGGCAGGACGCTGGGTCGTGTCGTGTAAATATTAGGAGCTCCAACAGTGGGGAATGGGCAGAGTTAATATTTCAGAGCTGTTCATATTTGCTTCTGAAGCAGCTTGTTTGTGCAGAAGATTCAAGATCCAAGGCTTTTATTGTCATTAGTACATAGTGTAGTTATGTCGATGGAATAATGACTAATAACAGGTTTATCACCAGGTAGGTTGACACGTACGAGGAATTTGACTTGATGGATGTTCTTTCAAAAGCTCAGGTGTTTAACAGTCTTATGGCCTGTGGGATGAAACTGTCCCTGAGTCTGGTGGTTTTAGACACATTTTATGTATCTATGATTTATTTAACTATCAAACGTGACCTATTGTCTTTTGTCCTGTGTTTGTTTCCGTAGGACTACACGTTGACCATGTATTTCCAGCAGTACTGGAGGGACAAGCGTCTCGCCTACATAGGAATCCCCCTCAACCTGACTCTGGATAACAGGGTTGCCGACTCGCTCTGGGTCCCCGACACATACTTCCTCAACGACAAGAAGTCTTTCGTCCACGGAGTCACCGTCAAAAACAGAATGATCCGCCTGCATCCGGACGGGACCGTTCTCTACGGCCTCAGGTTGGTTCTGACTCACACTATTATCCCATTTTGTCTGACACAAGAGTTGAGAAAGATACATATATTCTGCAGAGACTCCCTATATGATTGTCAACAAATCCTTTGGTTCTGCTTCACACTGCTCCCTCTTTCTTGTCCAAAATTCTGCAAATACAAGTCCTAAGAGGTTGCAAAAACCAAAACCATCAATGAATAGATCCTATCACTAGTGAATAGGACATTACAAGTGGACATACCAGTCACCCTGACTACACATATGGCTGTTTGGCCTTTGCCTTATTCGTTTTTGTGAACAAAATGATAAAGGACATTGGAGCAAAGAACAACCGATTGCTGGAAAAGCTTGCAGATACTCTCCATATTGTTTCTGAAGTGTCAACATATCCGAAGAGGGTGCAAAGACCACAACCAACAACTTATTGATTCTAGGTCTGTGTAGCCAATGAAAAGTGGGCTTACTAGTCACCCTGATGTTACGAAGAGGGTGCAAAGACCACAACCAACAACTTATTGATTCTAGGTCTGTGTAGCCAATGAAAAGTGGGCTTACTAGTCACCCTGATGTTACAAACCACCGCTTTGAAGCCTTGAATTTGCCTCTTTGGCCATCGCAATCTTTTTATGGAACCAGAATGAATACAAGACGAGGGTCAAACTACAACCCAATACCCTTCTCCATATTCTGAAGATACAAGTCCTAAGAGGTTGCAAACACAGAAACAATCAATTAATGTATCCTACCATTAGACACTGTCTTTGTAGCCCATCAAAAGTGGGCATACTAGTCACCCTGACCACAAATTTGTCTCTTTGGCTCTCGCCCTTATTAGGTTTTTGGAACCATAAATGATAAGCAAACTACAACCAATTGCTGAAAAAATTGGCAGCTATTCTGCGTATCTTTGGCCATCGCAATCTTTTTTTTAAAAAACCAGACATAATACAAGATGAGGGTCAAACTACAACCGAATGCTGAAAAATAAACTGTTAGGCCACCGAGATGTTACAATGAACTCATATTAACGGTAAAAACACTGTGAAAGGTACAGTAAGGTACGTTGCCTAAAAACTATTAAAATACACATCAATGACCAAGCACAATAAACGCTGTTATCTTACAGTGTGTTTCATTGAAAATAGTCCCCAACAACCACACAATGTTCTCCTCTATTTGAGTAGCGTTTGCACCAAAACTACAGTGCCCATCTGTTTAAGGAAGACCTTTTTCAACAAGTGAACTCTGGCTGAAGAGGTCATTGATTCTACATATCTATTTATCTTGTTACAGTGTAGAGTGTATTCATGTATTTAGACTGGGGACCTTTATGGGGCGATGCATATGAGCCGCCCTCCCTGCAACAGGCTCAGGGTCAAAATGTTCTCAGATGTTTCCCATTGTCAAGTTAATGCTGTGTTTAAAGCCCAATTACGGCACCGCAGTCGCCCATGCTGAGAACTTGGCAGATTTCTGCTGCTGGCCGCTGAGCAGCCAGAGGATTATGTGTCGTGCTCAAGGGCACGCTGGCATTTGATTCTTTAAAGGAAGCAGTCAGAGGAAGTGCGAGCAGGTTAGACGGTGCATTAATGCAACGTTAAGCTTGCAGCTGTTGTTTGATATTTGTTGCATAAAGCCCTTGTTTTGAATTTCCATTGATCTTCTCGACAGGCAGGTTCAGAAGAGTTACTGTGACCTATGAATATGGATGCATGCTTTGAATTATTAGAGTGCAGAGCGAGAAGTGTGTGTGTGTGTGTGTGTGTTTTTGCACATGCTTGCTTGTGTTTGTGTCCTTCAGTGTTCGTATTTTACAGTCATACAGCCATGCTTGATTATGCAAGTGGAGTTCATAGCACTTAGCCTTGTGGGCTACTTATAGACCTCTCAATGCTTTCAAGAGATCAAAGGCAGAGGCAGATGTGTGACGCGGTGTTTGTGATACCAACTGTTAAATAATAATGTGTGTCAGGTAAGGCTGAGTAACGTCCTGAGTACTGATTCATATCGTGGACAAACTGTATGTGTGTCAATGTTAGGCATTGTCTTAAGGAATAATGACACGACATTTCATAAGAAGGCGTGTTCATGGGTTCATCTGTTGTTTACTATTTGAAGAGGACATGTGATCTTCAGTTTAAGTTAATACTTTGGTTTTAAGTTGCTTCCAAAACATGTCTGCATGCTTTATTGTCTTATTATGTCCGTCTGAATATGCCTGTGTTTACTTTTTGTCTGAAACGCTCTCTCTTTAAGACCCCTCCCAAAAAAGCTGCTTTGATTGGCTTACAAAAACATGTGACGCACCTTTGCAAAGGTATATCGATATACTAGTATATATTATACATAATAGGGGGGCAGTATATTCTCAACAAGCCTGCATATAAAAAAGGAAGGGGAGCCAAACCCAAATGTTTTTTCACGATTTTTACTATTGTACCTCCTTTTGAGTCCAAACATATATTAGATTCACTGATTTAAAGCCTTACTGCCTATTTTAAGCTCTGCTAAAAACACATAACAGACAGGAATCGACATTTTAAAATACTATAAATGTATAACAAGCTCACAGAAGGAAATGCAGGGTGTCACAATAATCACAATAGGTCTCTTTGGCAGTCCTAATGTTCTGTCGTTGTGATTTTAGCTGTATAATGATAGCACCTAATGGGTTTCCAAAGCTTCATCTGCGTCTGCACTGCATGAAGTCTTCCAGTGGCTAACTGCCAAGCAGCCGGCTTTTAATCAGGGCAGACTTAGCCTAAATGATTTCGAATTTGCATTTCACTTTGCTGCTTATTTTAACTGCTGACTGTCTGCCTTTTGAGCTCATACATCTGATAAACAAAGAGATACCTCCTCAAAACCCAGTTCAGATGAGCAGGCACTGAGCTCTGCCAGAATGTGTTGCCTTTCATATGATTTTTATTTACACAAATGTTCACTTAATCACTGGATGGAGGGTGGCCAGTTTGATACGTGAGGACATGAAGGGAGAACTGCTTGTCTGTGATTCATAGCGTAGTTATTTAAACAGTAACAAAGTCAGCGTAATACATTGGAGGCCTTGCCATAATATTTTAAGATGACAGTGCCAATACTCTCCAGTAAAAGGACACCAACTGAGGAAGTTAGTGTAAATACAAATTGATTTAGTTTCCTTTAAAGACACTACGACATTCCTAACTGTATTCTCACAGTCCCTCTTTTAGTAACCTGCTCTGTTGTTTTATTTAATAACGTGTAAATCACACACAGTATCTAACACCTTCTCCCCTGCGTGTTGTGTTTCAGGATAACCACGACAGCAGCGTGTATGATGGATCTCAGGCGCTATCCCCTGGACGAACAGAACTGCACTCTGGAGATCGAGAGCTGTGAGTAGAGAGACCTGAAAAGCTTTAGGACTGACATACTGAAACCCTGAGAGGGAAACTAATGCAGCTCCTTATGTCAAATGTTAGGGCTTATATCGAAACCTTTTTCCTTCTTCTTCAGAGCGTGCTATAAGAGGTCTTAAGGACGCCCTCTGCTTCAGCTTTATGTATCTATGAATGTACGTAATGAAATGAAATGGACAGACACGAAAAATATGACATGGTCTAAAGCGCCTCCTGTGACTGATCTGACGGAGAATCGTAACAAATATTTTGTGTTTTTAAAGGGCTATGTATGTTGGGAGCACTCCCATTTTCTATTAGATACGTGTGGACCCACTTGGCATCCGTGTAGGTTCAATTGGCAAATGTTAGGGCTTATATCGAAATCTTTAGAGCGTGCTATAAGAGGTCTTACGGACGCCCTCAGCTTCAGTCTTATGCATCTATAGAGACAAAAGGATTGGCCAAGATACACATGACTATGGCTTAGCTGTTGTTATAATATTAGGACATTACAACGTTTAAAATTGCGTATAGAGGGTTGAATTTGTGCATGTACTTTAATGAAATAAATGGAAATCGACAGACAGGAAAAATGTGATGTTTAAATCCTTAAATACATCCTTGTAGCTACAATTGAGACAAAGCCGGTTCCTCCAACATAATGGTTCCCTTCACACGTCTTGTTTTACAGTGAATATCAGCTATTTATTTATATCTTTTTGACATTTTCTTAAACTCAAGTGAACCTATTAAACCGACTCGCTTTCCAAAGCAACGTGTGGTTCTTGGAGAGAACTTCAAACATGCTTCTTCCCGAGTGACAGCGCAGTTGGAAGATAAGCAACGCTGCATATCTCGCTCTCCAGTGAGGGTTCGACAGATGGTTACACCTTGGTCTGTGTGTGTGTGTGTGTGTGTGGTGTGTGTGTGTCTTCTCGTGCAGATGGCTACACCACAGACGACATCGAGTTCTACTGGAAAGGAGGCGATACAGCCGTAACGGGGGTGACACGGATCGAGTTGCCTCAGTTCTCCATCGTCGATTACAAGCTGGTGTCCAGAAACGTCGTGTTTTCCACAGGTAAATACTGTCAATGCTTTGGCATCTACAAACCGAACGTCCGTTGGGAACCACACGCGATAGACTGACAACTGAATGTTCTATTTTTCAGCATATTGTTCATATCAAGCATTGGCCCATTTTCAAGCTGATTATTTAATCAATTTCTGTAGCAAACAAATCCGTGCCAAAGCTCGATCTGTTGATCTTAAATCCTCAGAGCCACAAACTTGTGTGTGTCAGAGCTTCTAATTGGTTTGAAGGAAGGAAACGCGATGCCTTTGAAGTGTCCCTCAACAGCAGCTGATGCGAGGGGATGGTACTTAAACCAAAGCATGATGTAAGCGCCGTGATTTACAGAGTAATTTCGGCCCGTGTCAGGGGGCCGTTGACCCTGGACGTAATGGTTAGTTAAGGTATCATGCTGATGCTAACAAACTGTAGCCTCAATCAATTCAATCAGTCAATACTTTAACAGGTTTATCTTAAAGGATGTAGGAATAAGGGGGATTTATTGACAGAAATGAAGTTAATAATTCAGTTTAATTAGAGTATAATCACATGAATCTAAGAATCGTTTCCTTTTCAATTAGGGATCAGGTCCTGGTTTAGTGTCATTCACTTCAATCAAGTGTTATTTATAGTTTCTCAATGGCCAGTTTCTGAAGAGATTTTCATTTCCAGGTGCAATTTGTCACTGTGACACGTAAAAGCAATTAGTTAGTGAACTCTTAAAACATTAGCAGTATTATAATTGATTTCTGTTGCTAAGTTGAGTGCAGCAGAGAAGTTTAACAACCCTCATTGCTCACAGGGGGATCTCGCCCCTCGCTCTCTGTTGTGAACTTTGTTTTTGATTTGACGTACAGTGAGGTCTTCATTTAATCACATTCGGTCCCAGGTACAGAGCTTTATTGACGCCCCCTGACCAACAGCTATATCATCTGGTCAGCAGAGACTCATTCAGAGAGGAGGAAGTATCAGGGAAAAAAAAGCTGTGTGACATTTATTAATAACATCATGTCTCAGAGAAGTTATGCTCGTGAGGAGAAGCCACACCCAGGCGGAGAAAGACATGAAGAGAAAATTATTCTTTTGTTTCCTTTTTGGGTATTTTTAACATCTCCTTTGAGGCTACACGGTATTTTTGCCTCTCAGTGTTCCTTTAATATCCTCCTCTTTCGCCCTCCTTCTCACTGTGTGTCTTTGTTATCTCTGACGTGCTGCATTGCGTTAACAATCAATCCTGGCTGTGTATGTGTGAATCTCATGGTCCAGCAGGACTTGTGTATGAGACGTGGCATGTCTCCTGTGGGTGGCGACAATTAAACGTCAGCGTCCAGTGGTCTGCTGCCATGCTCTTGGCAGGAAGTGTGAAGCACATCAAAGCTTCCCTGCAAGGCTGGCTAATGACCAGGTTCCCTCCATCACATGTGCCACTCGCCAGCCTCCTTTAATGCCCATTTTCCTCTCCATTACTGTACTCTTGTGTACGAGGTGTGGTTCAATTCCAATTACCCTGCTCTCTGCTCTCAGAGCATCATATATTCATGTGCAATGAGGATCAAAACATCAATTATTCTCCTCTGAGCACACATACAAACACTGCTCTCTGTGTGTGTACATACAATAAGCATGTCCATATGCAAATGCACGCATGAACGGACTGTGTGAGGTGACATTTACGCGTGTTGTTTTTCACATTACATCAACGTCACGGCTGTCATCACCTATTCTGTCTTCATCCTCTCTGTTATCTCTATTAGGATAGCTGCGATATAACAGCTTTGATATTTAATAACATGTATATTTCATGTGTTTTTCTGGGAACATTTTGCATGAACATTAATCGTAACAGCTCTTGAAAAATAATTCATTAGAAGCTACAGCATTTATTATTGTGTCCCTTTGCAGTTCACAATAACAGTGGCAGATTTAACCCTTAAAATGCATTGTCATAATTAGCTTTTTAAGGTGTAAAAAGCAAGGACACAGTGCTGTAAATGTTGTTGTCTCCATAAATCAGAAAAACACCGTCTCCTGCTGACTCATTTCTAAACAAGAATATTGTAATAGAAGTGGTAAATATGCACTTCCTGGTTTTAGACATGATTTCATGATAAAAAACTACATTTCCCAGGAAAAAAAGGCAGCATGTTTCAATTTCAAGACTACAATAAATAAGGGTTTTCGGAAAAGCACTAAGCAGTGTTACTCACAAGCGTTTAACTATCTTAGTTAAGTGACATTTTCAAGTTAGTCTTACTGAATGCATTACAAGTATTCTCAAATATGATTGGTCGATACTGCTCGGACTACAAATGGACTACAGTAGGACATCCAACATCTTGCCCCTTTGCCTTCTGATTCTTCATGTATTCACATTTATTTGTCAATACCGATAAAAAAACGTTTTAGGAAAAGCACTGAGCAGTGTTACTCACAAGAAGAAAAGTATCTTAGTTAGGTGAAATGTTCAAGTCTTACTGAATGCATTAAAAGTATTCTCAAATATGATTGGTCGATACTGCTCGGACTACAAAAGGACTACAAATGTACAAAAAAAGGGGCTTTTGATACCAAATTCTTGCCCCTTTGCTTTCTGAATCTTAAATGTATTCACATATATTTGTCAATACCGATAAAAAGCACTGAGCAGGGTTACTCACAAGCGTAAAACTATCTTAGTTAAGTGCAAAGTCTTAATGAATGCATACAAAATATTCTCAAATATGATTGGTCAATACTGCTCGGACTACAGTAGGACATCAAACAGACTACAAATGTAAAAAAAAAAGGGGCTTTTGATACCAGAATCTCCTCCATTTGCCTTCTGATTCTTAATGTATTCACATTTATCTGTCAATACCGATTATACAGCACTTGAATGCTCCACGAGGGTGACAAAAGAGACAAAAAGGAGCGACAGCAGACCTCCTTCAGCCGCCCTTAGTGACTTATCGTTGTCCTGTCATTACCATGGTCATTACCCACTCAACTTTCATATATTCATTCCTTCTCCTCGGCCTCCTCACACATGCTGTTCCTCCCACTCGCGGATGTTGTTTGGTGTAGCAGTTACAGCCCGTACAGATCTACACCCACGCGATAGTGAACCTCAGCCCCCTCCTTTTTTTCTTAAACCACTTCTGCATCTGTGAAGACACTCTGCTCCCATTTAGGAGTGCAGGAGCTGCCGTTAAGGAAGCTTCAAAAGAGGCGAATGGGATGTTTTAAGACCTGTGACAGTCTGTTCCCATATTCACGTTGTAATGAAGTGTTCAGCGTGAGTCGGGTTTGATCACGGCTGCCATATGGTTTATTAACGAGCCAAAGACAGGAGGATCACCTAATGTGATAAATGAGACTAATTTGTAAATGTGTATATGCTTAACTACTGAGCAGCTTTGAAATCAGCTTGAAAATGAGCTGGTTTTATACAAATTAAGTGCTTAATCGAGGACGAAATCTGTTTTTTTTTTAACTAAACCATTGTATAAGGGTTTGAGTGTCAAATTTGAGAATTTAGGTCTAGATACGTGAAGAAATTCATCAGATATTAGATTAATGAACGGGATATACTTAATTAATGGGGATTTCATTATTTTGTTGCATGAGTTAAGGGCTATTTAAGAGGTTATTTGCATTATTGAACATTAACATGACAGGTACCACTTAATTTTGTACCTTTTTGTCTTTCTCTGAGTTATTAATTTGTTTGTTTTACCTCGATCTATTCCTGGCAGTGTCTTTGATCGACTATTTCGACTCTGCAAACAAACTCATGCTGCTGAAGAGAAGACATGATATTCTATTATAAATACTATTGTTTTACCTTTCCCTTGAGGAGGATGGGAAGGTTTTTTTATTGCACATATTGTTTTTAATCTACGTGGTGATGCTATGTGGAAAATAAGGTATTCAATTTATATTTGATATCCTTAGGGATTATCAAGGGACTATATTTTCTTAAAAATGGCACAAATAAACGAGGAGAATCACAATTAAATCAATAAACACACAGAAAAACTGTTGTTATCATGTCTTTAAATTGACCTACAGGTTACATTGTATTACCTTTCAAAATGCACCAGCTATTTTTGCACGTAAGAATAGACCACTTTTTTGAACGGATTTCCACCCAACCTTGTCATACAAGATGCAAAGATGGGTAATAAACCCGTCAGTGGTGATAAATACTGGATCATCAATGTTATTACAATTCATCCTTAGGGAAACATGAATGTGCGTACCATAGTTCATATTCACAAATGCCAACATTATGGTGGCATTAAAAGGCAGCCTTATCGTGTTTGACTACTTCAACAATATTTTGGTGCTGGTAAGTGCATGACAAAATGACAACATAACGCATGTATTAGCTCTGTTGGCTGTTCTGGTTGTGGACATCCTTTGACTGTCAGATGATAAACACTTCATGAGCAGCCTGGCACTTTAAAAATAACATGTTGGGATTTTATAGCAATCCAACCTCCAGCCGGCGCTGAGTCCTAATGAGATATCTGTTTTTTCAGAGTGACTCTCTATCCAACTCTTCACACGCAGTCGATTGGACCCACGAGTGGCTTACTACCGAAACACACGGATTGGAAATGACACTGTAATGGCCCCCAGTTCTCCTCCAATGTGACGGGGGGGGGGGGGGGGGGAATGGCTAAGAATAGTGGGAGTAACGAGCCGTAGATTCAATCCATAAAGAACCGTATGCTGGGAGTTTTATGAGAAATTATGCATCGCACTTACATCCAAGCACAGGCCCTATAGTGTTTATGTTCCAGGTCATGGAGAAGTAATGACAGAAATGCTCCGTCACTCATAACACATCGGGGCGAGGAATATTGTTTCCCTGACTTATGAAGCATCAGAGACACTCCTACATGCATTTGAAAAGCTATTATTCCCCCAGTTATGCTGAATCATCCTATGAATTATGTAGGTAGGTGGAATGCGATGTGCAGATGTGATCAATCAAAATGTGCTGACATCTTTATCGCCGTCTTAAATATTGTGTCACATCGTATCGAAACGGGGTTACAGTTTAGTGTGTGTGTGTGTGTGTGTGTGTGTGTGTGTGTGTGTGTGTGTGTGTGTGTGTGTGTGTGTGTGTGAGTGTGTGTGAGCGAGCGAGAGGAGAAGAACAGGATTCTTGTTACCATGGCAATAAATCCAGCCCATGCTGTCGGGTGTTGTCATGGAAACAGAAACAAAAACACAAGGTGTCCCTGTGTGCTCCTACGAATTCAATAAGTTCCGAAGCATTATATTTTCTAATTAATGGAACCGAATGTGCTTTGTTTTAAAATTTGATGAAAAAAACAAAATGACCATTTAAAGGGGACCTATCATGCAAAATGCACTTTTGTACGTCTTTTCTACATGAACATGTGTCCCCGGTGTTCCAGGGAACTCACCAAGTGTCAGAAAACACAACCCTCTCTATTTTCCTCCATACCCAAATCTCTAAAAAAGGGGCTGCAACGGATCTGATAAAAACTGATCCAGATTTGAACACTGTCCTGACGTCAGGACGGTGGCGCTACCGCTATTGGGCCAACTCCACCAATCAGGAGAAGACAACCGCGTTCGAAAGCGCTGGAGACGTTGTAGTACATATGCCAGGCCTGTAGATGGTGCTGTTGCTCACAGAATCAACCCTTGCAAAAACAGAGCTAACATTTTTCAAATTGAGCGAAATGAGGCATGGCTAAAATGCATGATCTGTTTGGTATTTTGAAAAAAAAAAAGTATAAATATGCCTTATATAGGAATGGTCCTACACTATATTATTCAAATATAGCATGATAGGTCCACTTTAAGTATCGTTTTTTTTTTTTAACGGGAAATATTTTAACTCTTTGATATTTGTTCGCTCTTTCCCCTCAGGTGCCTACCCTCGACTGTCTCTGAGCTTCAAGCTGAAGAGGAACATCGGATACTTCATCCTGCAGACGTACATGCCATCGATCCTGATTACCATCCTCTCCTGGGTCTCCTTCTGGATAAACTACGACGCTTCAGCAGCCAGAGTGGCTCTAGGTGAGAAACATCTGGATCTCTCAGAAGAAATTGGGGACGATAGTTAGCCATAAACATCCCCGTTTGAACCTTTCATTGTGTTGTGGAGCGACAGAGAGCTTTGGGAAATGGCTTGGAAAATGTTGGGACCAAATTAAAATGTATTCAAATATATAGAGATTTTAGTCAAGGCTGCACAATTAAGCAAAAATGTTCTTCGACAACTGACTGGTGCAATTTCAAAATCCCAGTAAGCAATATTTGGTAAAAGCTAAAAAAGTATTGTGATAAATAATGCAGAGAAGTAACGGCCTACAAACATATTCTAAAGTCTAAATAAATATCCTTGTATGGTACAGATCTTCAACAAAAAAATCCCACTAAGATCGTTTAAATATATTTTTCAATGACACTGTAGATAATGTTCCAAAAAAGGTCATTCCCAATATCAATATCCTCCAAAATAATCTCAATAAGTTATATTTTCCACATCCTGCAGCTCTGAAATGCTGCAACAGGCATGTAAACATAGTTTTGTCCATTGTGGCTTTCCGTAGGGCACAAGCTGAATTTCACACCGTTAGTCTGAGACCGAACTGGGTCATATTGTATACTTTGCCTCTTGCTGTGGTCACTGAAAGGCCTCCAGGAGCTATACATACATCTAATGAGCATAATTTCACTTCTGAGTGAGGAGTGCATGTGTGGGTGCAGAGGCCCACGCTCTGTGAGCAGTAAACAAGGCAGAGAGGGAAGCAGCAGGTCGTGAAATCATTGTGATTCCTCTCAGGGGGTCCAAGTTCAATATTAAAGCTGGTGGACGGGGATGAGGAATCAGACGGGGGAAATATGTAACATGAACGCTGTCAAGACAATCTTTAACGTGCAATTTTGACTTCACAGCAGTCGTAATTTGACAGCTTTAAATGGCCAATTGACCGTTCACTAAACGCCTCACCTGAACAGCAACGGTCCAATCATAGCTTAGCAACAGCAACTAGGATTTCACCACCTACTGCTTCGTCTTTTCCAGAAGCAAAAACACAAGAACAAAAGTCTAAAGAATGGACTCAACTCTAATGTAGGCTTACTACCCACAGTCAAATCAGAGTGCTACTGCCAAAGCAAAAGTTACATTACAGAAAAGCCACTTTTATGATCCAGTATACTCATTGCTAAGCCTTCACACACACACACACACACACACACACACACACACACACACACACACACACACACACACACACACACACACACACACACACACACACACACACACACACACACACACACACACACACACACACACACACACACACACACACACACACAAGTAGCTGCCCAGCTACAGCTGATGAAATCTACCAGCAACAGTTGTCATTTCAGCGACTAATTGAACATCACCAGCTAGAAATGATACGTTTTTCTCACCTCGTTCTGGAGTAAAAGCACCATTATTTTAAACGAATCATTACAGGACATAGGGTATAATTATCTCAAGGTTGTACCCCTGCCTCTTCGTTAACAGCTAACCAAATTTTAGGATTCAAAACGAGAATTTTGAGAGCTACATCTCCCACTTTTTAGTCGTGTTCAACTCACATGCAAATTGGCAGCTTTAGATGTCCAGAAGAAACTGAGTAATTGAACATTTGACAGCCAAAGCAATAATTGACTTGAATACAAACCAGGCAAATTAAGTAAAGCCCAAAGGGGAAACTGAAAGCCCCCCGTGTGTCAGTTGGTTTGTGGTAATATTAAAATGAAGCTGCCGTGTCTGTGTGTGGACATGCTTTAGACTTGGGGGGCCAATAGGAGCCCAGCAGCCCTGAGGGACTCCTAACAGTTCAATCTGCCAATTGATTGCTGCTCTGGCCCTAAATCATCTGTATATGGATGGATAATGGAACTGTAATGACCTTAACACATCCTAATGCTTTTTGGAAAACAGGCTTTGATCCATTACCTGTTGTATCCAGCTTGTTAGAGACTGGAATTTTCTGTTTGATATCCACTGTTATTTGCCTGCTTAAGGCACGCATCCAATATCCGGTCATTACCTTGGAGGGAATCTGCTGTTGTGTGTGTGTGTGTTTTTGTGTGTGTGAGGTTATGTGTGAAATCCTGCTGGCTGCAATATCCGGTGTGTGTGCGTCCTCAGCTGAGGGGCAACCGGAGGTCCATTCACTTCTCCTGATGGATCATTACAAGCTTTCAGCAGGTGCATTGATGGTGGAAGAGAGTGTGTGTGTGTGTGTGTGTGTGTGGGAATGCATGTGTGTGTGTGCAAACCTGCCAGTAAGAGCAGTGTAATGATCAGGGAGAAATCAATTCAAGGAGTCAGCAGGCAAACAATTCAATTGTTTGAAGGGGAATCTCATTTTCCTGAGCAATTTTGAAGGATTGCAATGTTACAAATGACCCCCTCGCAGCCTAATCTGGTTGCAACCCATTTCCCACACTGACGCCTTTCGCTCACAATCACATTATACCAACAGTCAAGGTGTGGGCATTAGCTGTAATTGGTGCCGGAGCACTTTAAGTGTAATGGTAGACACAAGATCACTGTGTGTTGTGCGTTTTCCTCATCCACAGACTCCCAAATGACAAGTTGTGAAGCATTGCGAATGCTAACTACAGAGCTGACAATTAGTGCTGTCTGCAAGTGATAAATGGAAAACTTTAATTACCACCATGCCTCTATCCTCGCCGCCAACATTCATTGCCGTTTTCAAGTGCTTTGCTGCATCCTACACGATGTTTTCCCTTTTTATAATACTGAGCTGTGTTGCTAATGGCCTATTAGCTTGTGATTAGAGCACATTTGATTACCATGTGTCTTTGTTCCAGCTGGTAAGGTGAAAACAAGGGACATACAATGAGAGAAAACGAGGGGAGGGGACGGAAAGAGGGAAACCACCGCTAAATGATGGAGGGATCTGGCTTTTACAGGATAAATGAAGAGGGAGAGGGGGTGAGATTGAGGCAGAGGGAGAGATAGTAGATAACAATGGGAATAGACAAGGGAGGGGGCGAGAGAATGAGAGGAAGACAGAGAGTGAGAGGGACCCTATATAACTATATTTCTCCCCAGAGAGTGTAACAGCGTGATGAAAAAGGAGGGAGGCCCATGGACCCCTTGATTAAATTGTCCGGACCGAGGCAGCAGAGAGAGGGAGTGAGGAAGGGAGGGAGTGAGGAAGGGAGGGAGTGAAGGACGGAGAGTAATGGCGCAGCTGAGAGAACACCTATAAAGAACAAGGCTGTCGTTAAGGGAAAAAAAACCAAAGATTGCACCATCCAATAGGGGCAGAGACACGGAGCATGTGCTTGTACAGTGCAAACTCATTCACACACACACACACACACACACACACACACGAGTGGTGTTAGCCTTGTAATGTGCCAATAAATCACACTAAGGGCTAGATTGACCTTAGCTATCCCGCTCCCTCCTCCCAACCCTGTGACTGTTCCTTGCCTCTTCACTGTACTTTATGACACACACACACACACACACACACACACACACACACACACACACACACACACACACACACACACACACACACACACACACACACACACACACACACACACACACACACACACACACACACACACACACACACACACACACACACACACACACACACACACACACACACACACACACACACACACACACACCTTGTCTGTGTGTGTTATACGAGCGGCCCGGCCACTGATAGGCTCTATTTGTTTCCTGCATGGTGAGATATAGCAGTAGAGATCTGCCACATATCTATAATGTGATAAGATGTATTGATATTGCGTCGCAGGAGGTCAGGGTTTGCATGAATAAGACTGAGGCGTGAGTTTATGGGCGCAACTTGTGAAATGTATAGTGGCACTGGAAGATATATGGTGTATAGCAGAAGTGCCGCATGACACATTAATGCAGAAACATGCGGCAAAATTGCACAATGGGAAAGAGTTGCATAAGCATTGTGAATTGTTTTTATTTACTTGCGTTTTTGTATTGTTTTTTTACAATTATCTTTTCTAAACTGTATAGTAGGTGTTGACTTTAAATTGTATACGATATTATTAAGCTACAAAACACAAGCAAATGCTGCAAAATGCTTCAAATCGTACAGAACAGAATGGAAATTAGTTGCAAAACATTGAGAATCTCGTTTTTTTTTTCATCACGTTCTGCATTTGGTCATGTTTTCTGTCGCAGAGCATTTCAAAATAAGTTATATTTCTGTTGTTGCAGCTCTTTTGTGCATTTGGTTGGGTCTAACGGCATGTATTGTCCTACGTAACAATGTATGAAGCTCTCAGATCCACTATAGAAATAAATCAGTCCTTTTCCAGTCCAATGAAATGTCCCCTCGTATATGTGTCTGTCTTTTTACGAGTCGTCACTTAGTGCCCCTCTCTTTCCGTCATGCTGAAACATAAAAGGTGTGAAGGTGCCTTTACTGGCAGCACACCACGCCTCTCTGTATCCCTTCTGGTTAAGGTTACTCAGAGCTGGAGGCTTGAAACATGCAGCACTATTTCTAATGAGTTATTTCTGCCTGATGACTGAGGGGCAGTAGTAGATTTCGATGCAGACCTTTGCATTTCAATGGGGCAGAGGTTATGCACTCCTCTACCACTACTATGCGTGTTCATTCAAGTAAAATCAGACATGAAACAGATCAGGAAATAGTTTCAAACGAGTGCTCAAGCAGAAATACCGTACATGCCGTATTTGATTCTCACTCCTTACTGTTTCTTTGACACTTCAACAAAGCAATCTCAAACAACGGCATTTTCTTCATAACTAGCGGAGGAAATGCCACCACAGAGCAATCACGTTTTCTATTAAAAAAAATACGCTTGTTTCTATAGTAACACAAGACATCTGTTGGAGTTTTCCTCCGATGTGAACTTAAGGTTACGGATGAGACAGAAGCAGCTGCTAAGAGCGGCGAGGGCTCTTCACGCTTGTAGTTATAACACGGTTGGAATAATTAAGCATCAAATGTACCATCCGAGATTGGTTGCCAAGAGAGAAGAAACATTATATCCTTGAAATTATGTCGATTAATCTGAAAAGGTAGAATTTAAGGTGTAGAGGACACACATGTTCCTACTAAATAAGCATTTTCCAGAGATGGTAAAAGTACACACATCCTTTACTCAAGTAGAAGTACAGATACTTGTGTTTAAAAATACTCTGGTGAAAGTAGAAGTACTGACTAAACTTCTTTCCTCAAGTCAAAGTAAAGAACTTTGAAATGTACTTCAGTAAAAAGTACCCATAACTAGCAGCTGTTTTAAAGAGTACCTGATCTCCCTTTATATTAATAGAACAATAATGTCATTGTTAGCTAATGAATGTTTCCATGCTGAACAACGGCAACATGACAACGTTTTCATTGGTCCCTCTTCTTTAGAGAAGACCAGGAAATGATGGATACACGGATCGTGTTCAAATCAATAGGCACGCAATGAAAACACACATTCAAACTAAAGGAACCAGCCTGTTTGGGAAATGTAAGAAGTAGAAAGTACAGGTATTTGTGTTCAACATGTGAGAAGTAGAAAGTACAGGTATTTGGGTTCAACATGTAAGAAGTAGAAAGTACAGGTATTTGTGTTCAACATGTAAGAAGTAGAAAGTACAGGTATTTGTGTTCAACATGTAAGAAGTAGAAAGTACAGGTATTTGGGTTCAACATGTAAGAAGTAGAAAGTACAGGTATTTGGGTTCAAAATGTAAGAAGTAGAAAGTACAGGTATTTGGGTTCAACATGTAAGAAGTAGAAAGTACAGGTATTTGTGTTCAACATGTAAGAAGTAGAAAGTACAGGTATTTGTGTTCAACATGTAAGAAGTAGAAAGTACAGGTATTAGTGTTCAACATGTAAGAAGTAGAAAGTACAGGTATTTGTGTTCAACATGTAAGAAGTAGAAAGTACAGGTATTTGTGTTCAACATGTAAGAAGTAGAAAGTACAGGTATTTGGGTTCAACATGTAAGAAGTAGAAAGTACAGGTATTTGTGTTCAACATGTAAGAAGTAGAAAGTACAGGTATTTGTGTTCAACATGTAAGAAGTAGAAAGTACAGGTATTTGGGTTCAACATGTAAGAAGTAGAAAGTACAGGTATTTGGGTTCAAAATGTAAGAAGTAGAAAGTACAGGTATTTGGGTTCAACATGTAAGAAGTAGAAAGTACAGGTATTTGTGTTCAAAATGTAAGAAGTCAAAGTAAAAAGTAATCAGAAAAATAAGTAGTGGAGTAAAATACTGATACCAGAAACATGTACTTAAGTACAGTAACTAAGTATTTGTACTTCCCACCTCTGGCGTTTTCTAATACCAAAAATGTTGCTGTTCCTTTCCTCAGGGATCACCACGGTGCTGACCATGACCACGATCAACACCCACTTGAGAGAAACTCTGCCCAAGATCCCGTACGTCAAGGCCATCGACATGTACCTGATGGGCTGCTTCGTCATGGTCTTCCTCGCCCTGCTGGAGTACGCTTTCGTCAACTACATATTTTTCGGGAGGGGTCCCCAGATGCAGAAAAAGTTAGCGGAGAAGGCGGAGAAGGCTAACAACGAGAAGGCGGCTAAGTACGACGCTGCGAGGGTGAGTTTGGATATCCGATTGGACGTTTGAGACACGATAGACAAGGATAAATGGATTTAAGATGAAAGTAAATGCTTCTTTCTCCAAGTATTTCCCTCTCCATCGTGGAGCCAGACACTGATTTCCCTTATGCTCTACTACTGCACTTTGTATTGAACCATTAGCAATAATTAAGAAAACAGAGCCAGAGGAATCCAACCAGCAAGCAAGGAGCATAAAGTGTCACTGTATGATCTTTTACTCTCCATGTCTAACCCTTTTTAACCCATGCACCTGCCATTTTTGAAGACATTGGTAGTATTTCAGGTTATAAATTACATAACATTGTAGTATAACTAATTCAATACACGGGTGGTTTCAATATTTGGTTATTTCCACAGAAAATGCTGCAGCGCAACACATTTTTCTTCCTCCCAACAGCCTTGACTCTGCAAATATTTCAGAATGAAGATCTTCTGCAAAATTGCACTGTATGACATTATGAGAGGCATCTGTATCTGCGACGAATCGAAATATGTTGGGTTAAAAAGCTATTTTCAGGTATTTGTTCCCCACATGTGGCTGAATATTCTCCTCTCCTCAGGAGGCAGGTAGTAGGACCGCGTCCCTAAAGCGGTCCAATCAGATTAAAGGTCTTCGCCACTCACGCTCGGTGAGTTGCTTCGTTCAGTGAGACTCAAAATCTTCCAGTCAACTCTGCCATTGCCATCAGCTGACATGGATGTTTTTATTTATATTTCCGCCATCCATGGAATGAGTCAAGCGACAACAGACATCTTCATGACATTGCCATAATCTCAGGAGTGTCCATTTCGACTTCTTCATCGCCGTTTTTTAGCACATTGAAACGACGCTCTTGCTTGAATGCTCTCTCCTTTCAGAGGTCATCCTGAACGCATGCTTTCATACACATTTCTCACACAGCTTCTATACATTAGAGCGACACATCGCGCATGTCAGGATGTGGTTTAAAAAGTGACATGTGGGACTTTTACAGTTACGGCTACATTTGCATGAATGATTGCCGTTGTCCATTAATGTTGATTTGTTTCGTGGTGCACACATCGTAGGCATGGAGTCTGATGTGTGTCCTCTGTGTTTGATTACATTGTTGAAAGTGATGGTGTGGACTTAAATTGCTTCAGTCCGGGGAAAACTATTCCTCACGTGCTACGGTGGGAAATGTCCTCAGGTTGACACCGAAGATCACACCTGTCAAGTCAGGAGCGAGGGCAAAACACTGCACTCAGGATACTGTAGAAATAAAATGTCCTAATGGTCCAAAAAGCCATGGAAGGATGTTGATGCAATTAGTTTTGCATCTCGTCAACTCTTTGTACAGTATATTTTTTTGTCACGTCTTCGTAGATATGTTGCGTCTCATTGCGCCTTTTTGTATCGTGTGTGTTTGTAGATGTTTTGCGTCTCTTTATAGATGGTTTGAGTCTCTGTGGATGTTCTGTGTCTCTCTCTGTGTCTGCTGTTAGAGACTAAACTCCCAGGCCTGTGCCCGGTCGGCCCATTCAGTAATCCTTCCATGATGACATACACATTTCATGGTCTTGAACACACTGAGGGAACAGTGCCTTATCACTTCAGGTGGAGTCCTCTCCAGCTGTTCCATTTATTTGCACATGATGTTGTTAATTAGTTTTTCTTATTTCTTTATCCATTCCAGGCGGAAGCTCACGGCCACGGGAACATCCTGCTCACCACCCTGGAGATCCATAACGAGGTGGTGGGAGGCGAGATCACCACCAGCCTGGCGGACATTAGAAACTCTCAGTCTATGGTGCAGTTGGACAGCCAAGCCTCGTCGCACATCCAGTACCGAAAGCAGAGCGGAGGCATCGGGCCGCGCTCCGCCAGCCGACACTCCCTGGACCGCGCCGCGCAGATCAAACGCAGTCGTCTGCGCAGGCGGTCCTCGCAGCTCAAAATCAAAATCCCCGACCTGACGGATGTGAACGCCATCGATCGCTGGTCACGGATCATCTTCCCCTCCGTTTTCTCACTGTTCAACCTCATCTACTGGCTCTACTATGTCTGATTGGACTGTTTTGTTTGATATGTTTATTGTTGTTTTTATTTTCATCTTAATTTTCCTTTTTTTCTGTTGCTTTTATACATGATGGCATCTGTCGAGGTAAAGACTGCAACACAGGACAAAAAGAAAAACTGACTGAGAAAGACAACTGAGTTTTGGACCAAGTTCTTGTCAAAATTGTTTTTATATTTGCAGTCTTTGAATCCTTAGTTCCATCGTCTTGTTACTTTCTAAAGTATGTACTGTAATTGGGACTTGTGACAGTCATTTCCCAACGCTCTCAGTAATGTGTAAATAGAGAGATACAAAGCCAGCAATTGAATACATATATTTCAGTATTTGCAAAAACCCAATGATAACAAAACGATTTTTCTAATTCAATATAATTAAGAATACTTTATACACAGGTGGTCAGATAAATGCAGGCAATTCCTAACAGTCCATTAAACAAACTAATGTATGTTTGACTGGTACCCTATGCACTATTAATGCATGTAATGATCAACCATAGTGGGAAAACAATGACTTTTGCCTTGGATTATGTCACAACTTTACAGAAGACTTGATTTGTATTTGTTTATAGCATTGATTATATACTTGCTAATGTCATGCAATGATCTGGTACACTTTACCCTAACACAATAATTTAAAGTGGAGGATGTTCTCCTCCGTTCAGGATGACTGAGACTCAGGTTCTGAATCTTTTGCTATTCGACATCTTGTCACTGAAATATCCTTTTTTTGGTCATTTGATAAGGAAACAAAAGCACAAATAAGAATAAAACTGCCATTTTTTCACTTTTACCTTCGAGCAACAGCGCTTCAAGTGATAGCGTGACAGAATTGCACTCAAATTTAAATACTTCCTCTGAAAAAAAAACGTCTTACTTTAATTTACAACAACTGCCAAGGGCCTTTTGGGCGACACGGTTCCTCAACCCATGAAATATTATGATATTTTTGTACTCTGTGTCTTCAGGTATTCGATTGATTTTCCTACCCCGTGTTTTATTTATATTTTTGCTCGACAATGTTGTGGTGAAAGAGTGGAGGAATGAAACCATTTTTTTTGTAAATAAGTACATAATTGTGTATATACATAAGTGTATATATACTGTGTGTACAACCCTGAATTGAAAATGATATGAGCATTTTGTGATTGTCGTTCTGGCTTTTAACCGTCAGAGCATTTAATGGGAAAAAAAAAGACAAAAAAACGAATTCACCAACAGGTCAGTTTCAAGCATCACTTAGTTTTTGTGGGGCACTCTGAATATCTTCTCAAACATCCGACATTGTTGAAGTCTGCTTTAGAAACTGCGTATGTTCACCCTGCATTTCAGAGTTACTGTACGCTCCGTTATACAGCAGCACACCCATTTGGATTTCATTGATTTGCAGACTTATTGTCGACTAATAAGCACATACTAGCGCTGAATGTATCAGGTCCATTCTTCAGGGAGAGGATAATGAGCCATGGTCATCATTTCTCCATCAGAATGTAACACGCCCATTCTTACGAGTGTTGTAGAAACAGAAGGGAGGGATTTTAAAAGTGTGTGCATGTGCATGTGTGTGTGTGAGAGAGATGGGGAATGGATAAGGAGAGCTTGAGATAGGAAGGGCGTGGGTAGACCATTTATTTTCTGTGCTGCTTGCTCGACTGTGGACAAATGTCAACGTGGAATAGTTTTGTGGATAAAAATAGCTCTCCTGTCCCTGTCCCACTCCTTTTGATAAACTGTGTGCCATTCCACCTAAGGTCGCAGAGCAATCACCCACAACCCATGGACGATGATGTAAATGTGTCATAGATACATGACATACAGTGTACGAAAACACGTGAAAACATTCCTACTTGATAAGTTCAGCGATGGGATCAATTTATCAAGTTGTATGTGTACAGACTGATTGATATATGACTTAGAACTGAATGTATTGTACTTGGATTGTTGCTGCACAAATGCAATTTTCTTTCTGGAAACAGGATTGACCTCAACTCTGATTAATTGGGGCTTTAGTTGATTCCCATTCGAGTGACCCCGAGTTTATCGCTGGTTACGGCCCTGTTTTCTACTGTGTAGACGGGGCGCAGTGCACAAAGGACCTGGGTCCAAGAAAGAAGAAAGCTCCATTATTAAATAAAAACATCCGATATATTATAAGCCAAAACATCTTGCGAAAGGTGTGTTCAGAAGACATTTGAAGCGAGTGTTCACCTTGCGTACAAATTTGTGTTTATTCGCCCCAAAACCGTTCGCGGTCAGTTAGCTAGAAATGGACGATCTTTCTGTTACTTCCCTCTCGTCTCAGAATGTTTTCGTTCTGTCTGAACACACAGCAAAAGAGGATGTTTGACTAAAGCACAACGCAATGTTTCTTGATCTCATGCATTCACGCTTGTTACGGCATTGGAAGCAGTTTGTCCAAAAAGCCAAGCGAGGAAGAAGAACGTCCGAATTGAATTTCACAACAGTTCAGCTTCAGTGCTGTGTAAATAAGATATAATAATACAGATTTCTGAAACACTGAAGCTAGAAAATAACTGTTTTACTTCCTGGCTTTTACTGCTTCACTTTGATTTAATCAATTACTTTAGTCTGCAGCTGTACGAGTCGTTACTTTAATTACCGAACAACAGCGTGCAGGTGAAAGAGAGGAGGAGACGGAAACTCTTGATACTTTATCATGCATGCAACGACAATTCGTGACTTTAAAAAAAAAAAAACTCACTCATGAGAGCTGCCAACTGCTCATTTTAGAAATATAATGCCATGTGAGCCTACGATAAAAAGTTTAAAAAAGCAACAAAAAAAAGAGTCATCAAAGACTTCCGGTGTTGTATGGCCTTGGTCCCATATTGGAATGTGAAATGTTCTGTGCTGCCACAAAATGTATTTAGGCTTAGATTTCTACTGTATATCTCTGTATGTTTCTCTTCCTTTTACAATAGATTATCATGTTAAACCATCAAATAAATTATATACATTGTTCTTGTGTATTTGGTATTGCGAGCATGCATGACACTGTAAATAATCTGTACACGTAGAGCAAGATACAATGAACAGCCATTTTGAATAGCATTTTGATATGCCTGTACATATCCCAATATATTTGGAGAATTTCCCAACTCTTCAGGTGCCCTTGAGCAAGGCACTTGAACCCTTTCTGTTTCAGTGCAACCACACAGAAGACGTTTCACTCGACTCCCAGTTGGACATCTTTTGTGTATGAAGTGAACTTTCTGAATGTGTGCCAGAGTGTTGGTGAAAAAGAGTACATTAGTTCCCCGGATAAATAAAGATTGGAAAAGAAAGACACTTTGGAGTCGGAGGTTATTATTCATCATCGTGTTATTCACCCCACTCAAGTGCCACGAGGTGTTTAATTCGCTTAGAGACTAAGTGGTGATATGAAAAGTTAATATCAAGTTGTAACAAGATCAGCTCAAGTATAAGCATTTTACATTCAACCAATCAGATTATGTCAGTCTCCAGAGCAGTACTATCCTGGAGAAAATGACATATCAACTTTAATTTTCACGTCTCTTCTCCTCGCTTATAGCCTCTTTAGAGAAGTTAGCAGAGTGTAATGGGAACCTACAAAGATGGTTTCCTGCTTTAAAGCTAATGAATATAATGAGGCCATTAGAAGGAGGTCAGAGCTACCCAAAGGGACCCACACAGAACTATTTTTGATACCATCAACACAACATCTACACAGAGCGTGAGAAATAAAATAAGGTGTTGTAATGTCATGTTTGGTAGTAGTCTGTTATCACTTTAAAGATTGGGCACTTTAATTCTTGCAAGATGCTTAGCAAAGCAAATAATGCTAATCTACCCAACCCTGCAGATGCAGTATATCTACACATACTGGGTTAACTATAGTTACTGTAAATAATACATTGGATGTAATTAACTGAGCACCAGCTGGGTGAACGCAAGTGATCCAAGCAATGCAATTCATTAAGGGTGAGTCAAATAACGTAGTCTCTATGGGACCATTCGTAAAGAAGTACAACTGGAAACAACTGCAGTGGGATTAACGTTAGCTGTGGGTCACAATGAGTTTACATTTCTTGACCAATTACAAATCAAGGAGCCCAAAACAGAGGCGAGGAATCCAACGATACATGTCAGCACTAACAGGAAGTGAGCTGATACAAGGTGTATTAGTGCTAACAAGTAGCTTGAAGGTCTGTAAAGTGTTAAATCTTAAAAGTAAGTAGTCACTGTAGTGCGGCAAACATGCATCTTAATTAAAAGGTGATGTGAAGAGATTCTGCAGCCTTTGAAGCTCCGACTTTATCCTTATGTAACTCCACTGACTGTACAAGCACTAGTGTCAACAAAGACAATGCAAAAAAACATTGACAAAAGGAATATTATGGCAAACTTTCTAACACATGAAGAAACTCCAAACCTTCACATCTTCCACAGAACTCTTGCATTATGAACTCTTGGTCTCTAAGATCATAACCAAGCACTTTACTCCAGTGAATGTACTTCATTTCCTCCACCCTTGGAAATATAGGATAGGGTTTTTTGAGCATAAGGAATCCAAAAGTTGGTATATATCCAAAAGTAAGGTGAAAAAAGTACTTAGCCACAGTTAGCATGAATCTAAGATGCATGATGTGGGTGGAAATAAAGTAATTGAATATACGCATTCTCTTCTGAGGAGCTAGAAAGCCGCTTCACTTTTAGTCAGTTTCTGAGAAATAATTGTCTCAGGTCGAGGACGTATTATCGGCCATATAACACTATTTAATATGCATAATGACTTTAAGAAAATGCTGAGCTTTGCTTCCCAGTCCCCCCATGCTTCTCCACAATATATGAGTCCCTTGGGGTACGCGTGAAATATTTGTAATCTCTTTCCTTTATAATGTAAAGGGGGTTCTTACCCCGAGGTACACTGCGCCGTTTATCATTAAACTAATCATTAAAGAATATCATCGTTCAGCAGTTTGAGGGGGGCTGTTGTTGATAACAAGGCACACGTATAAAGCATGCCACTGTTATGGCAGTTATAATGTGCTATAATGAGGCCGAGCCAATCATAAGGGCTAAAGGGGAACACAAGGCCAATTATTGGATAATCAAGCCAGAATGATGGCTTTGTAGGCAGTTCTATGTTGGATGGGCTTTAAAATAACATGTTCTGTCAGTATGTTTGTTGATCAAGCAACCTACGTGCAGTTCTTCCCTCTGCTACATCAAATTCAAAGAAACCAAAGGGAACATTTGACTTCTTCTGCTGTCAAACCGTTTCTAGCACACCAGGTCCCCAGATCATCTCCGCACTCAGTTTTTGGAGAGGGGAAAAAAGTGCAGCACACTCCTACTCTTCAACTTTGTCAGGTTCGGTTGGAAAAACCTCCATCAGACCTGATTTGAGAACGTCCACACAGATGTATGATGAATTTCAGTTCATATCAAAGCTTACAGTCCTGTCCGTTTCTCAGGAGCTCGATAACAGAGATATTGATAGATGACCTCGGGTAAACAAGATGCCAAGTCACTAATAAAAACCACTCGAGAGGGCCGTGAAGCAAAAGTCAACTAAAGGTTATCGACACAAAAGACACAACATTATTTTTTACAAGCAGCATCACTCATTTTGATCTCATCGACTCGGTCTGGATCCTGAAGCTTTAAAAAAGGAACAAGCTGTTCACACATTAGTTAAAAATATCGCAATGGATAACTAGACGGATAAAAGGGCATAGCCTCTGGGCTTGACATCCTTTTCTGGCAGTGCAAAGGATCTGGATCTGAATAATTGCTCAAAGAGTTATGATGGTGCGCAGATATTAAGGGTGATGAATATTGTCAAAACTATACACGGATCATGGTTCTTCATTTTCAGGCAATAAGCATCAAAAGGTTTTAATTGGTGGGGGGGGGGGGGGGGGGGTGGAGTAAGAGGCGTGAGCTGCTCTGAAGCTCTGTGGTAAATGACTTATTGCTTTCATAAAAGTGCAGCGAAAAGAATATGAATATTTAATTATTGTTATTTCTTTGTTTCTTGTGATTAGAAGCTGAATCGCTCCAATGGGGACATGGGGTCGCAACACAAGCTAATATTATATAATACAACAAAGAGAAATGAACAAAAAGAACATGCAGGACCAAAGATATGTTTATTTTATGAAATATTCTTCCCACAAGCAATGTACTATTAACAGAGGCCAAGAGCCGTCAGCATGCTGGCAACTTTTGAGCCTAAACATGTGTTGCTTAGAGCTAAATGCTAACATGTTGGTTATGTTACCATGTTCACCATCTTAGTTTATCACCTGAGCATGCTAACATTCCTTTATAAGCACTGTCACAAACCAAAGAGGAACTTCTCAGCAGGAAACCGATGGACTGTCCACTCCAAGTAGGGAATGAGTCCTTACCTCAAGTGAAGGAGTTCAAGTATCTCGGGGTCTTGTTCTCGAGTGAGGGAACAATGGAGCGTGAGATGGGCCGGAGAATCGGAGCAGCGGGAGCGGTACTGCAGTCGCTTTACCGCACCGTTGTGACGAAAAGAGAGCTGAGCCAGAAGGCAAAGCCCTCTGTCTACCGGGCCATTTCCGTTCCTACCCTCACCTATGGTCATGAAGGATGGGTCATGACCGAAAGAACGAGATCGCGGATACAAGCGGCCGAGATGGGTTTTCTCCGCAGGGTGGCTGGCGTCTCCCTTAGGGATAAGGTGAGAAGTTCAGTCATCCGGGAGGGACTCAGAGTTGAACCGCTCCTCCTTCGCGTCAAAAGGAGCCAGTTGAGGTGGTTCGGGCACCTAGTAAGGATGCCACCTGGGCGCCTCTCTAGGGAGGTGTTCCAGGCACGTCCAGCTGGGAGAGGGGACCGAGGGGTAGACCTAGGACCAGGTGGAGGGATTATATCTCTTCGCTGGCCTGGGATCCCCCAGTCAGAGCTGGTTGATGTGGCCACGGATAAGCGGGAGAAGATGGATGGATGGGACAAACCACAGAATTATATAAATTGAGATGTTGACATAATACCGTTAACTAAAAAGTCAGGGGGTCTCTTCCTTTCTCCGTTTCTGGTGATAGTCTGCTAGTACTTTTTGTAATTGGTCCAAAAGTGTGAACCATCACAAAGATTAAGTTGATAGCCAAGGAGTCATGGAAAATGGCTTTTAAGAGTCGTAGAAATGGAAACTTTGATACAAGTTTATGGTGTGTGATGTAAGCTAACGTTAGCAACACTTTGCTATGGATAAAACTGGATTCATGCTACCAAGAAATAATGTTTGAGCATCTATCATTGTCCTGTACTTGTGACCTATTCTCTTTAAAATAAACCTTTGTTAAAGTTTTGGTACAACTTTTAATGTTTTGGGGAAAGAATCTGTTTCATAATCTGTCTGCACTCATGCTGGGAACCTTAACCTACTTCACAACACTTCTTCTCTCCGTCTTTCACACTCAGATCATCAATAGCTGCGAGATAAAACACATTTCAACTTTTAGCACGGTGCTGCTCAAACCAAGCCCTCCACGGTCGCATAGCAACAGCAGCTTTAACAGCTTCCTACAGTGGATGTGTTTAGTGCTGCTTTTTAAAAAAACAAGGCACCCCATGGACACCGGGGCCAAGTTGTTATGATGGGAATATGAGGCAGATTACTAACATTTGTCCCCTTTTTAGTTGTGGTTTTGTTCTGCTGAGTGGACAGTAAGAGGTGGATTCCCAACCCCTGATTGTTGACCCAAAAAAAAGCCCCGAAAACTCACGAGGCGGTGTCGATTCAGCCCGTGTTTCTTGTGGAGAAACTCACTGAATGAATTCTTTCTGATGTCTTGTTTCTTTCTTTTTCTCCCCTCGCTGCCTGCCAACTGACATACTTTCTTTTAATTCATCAGCAGCATGGCGAGCGATGGAGGGAGCGTGGGAGAGAGTAGGAGGGAGAATGGGAGGATGGAGAGAGAAAGAAAGTGTGTTTCAGCATCAAAAGACTGTCTCGGAGACTAGTGGGAATACATTGACTCTTCGATGTGCTTTTTGATGATGCCTCTGTGTTTTATGAACCCAGTGATACACAACAGCAGAGTATTAGCCTACTTCTCCCTGTACAGTTCTCACCCTCTGTCTCGCTCTCCGTCATCAACACTCATTATTCCCTGTCTCATTATAAGCGGTGTTTTATTGTGTAACACACACACACACACTTCCTGGCATCAGCTGGGCGTACTGTACCAGACAATATTTTGATGGCTCATCCTTCCTACAATGAAACCTCCCGAGTCTCTAGACAATACACTTTTCTTGAACATCCCTGAATCATTAAACATTTAAAGGGGCTATTCCCGAAGTGTTCAATACCACAGAGAATAACAAGTCCTATTATGTACAGTATGACCCAGAAACAACGCACTCATATCTTAAGTCACATCTGCAATAAACACTAAGAAAAACCGGCTCTTTGGAGATAGATGAAAGGGAATAGTGACCACTGTTTTACCCGGTCAACCGGAGGCTTTGTAGAGACGACACAAATGACGTCAAATTAAACATGATTTCATCAGTAGCTGTCTTCATGTCTTTGGAGAATACAGTGGTGTCAGGCTATTTGATTTAACTGACGACATCATCCGGTGGAAATTCAATGTGTAAATTGGCTAATTGTTATTGACAGGAGGCAATACCCTGGATACCATCTGAAACATATGGGACCCCATTGGTCTACTCTGCCCAAAACGAAGGTTACAAATCTTAATTTACCATTAAGAAGAATGACGAGGGTGTAATTTGTCCCGCCATGACGCGTGCTACAAAACCAATAAGAGACACAACGAGGTGTCAATCACACACACACACACACACACACACACACACACACACACACACACACACACACACACACACACACACACACACACACACACACACACACACACACACACACACACACACACACACACACACACACACACACACACACACACACACACACACAAAATGTGAATTCTGACTGACCGTATCAGACAGCCCAACGTTATATGTCTAAATTCAACCCTTAACTTAATCAAAGTAGCTTTTGGGTGTAGACATTAAGTAAGTGTAGCAGTACGTTTCAAATGGTCATGATACGTTTGGAAAATCAGCTTCATTTGTGCTAAATATTCTCACTGAAGTTCTCTAACATTAAATGTAATTAGCTCACTTTACACCATCTTGATTTTCACCCAGTAATTACACAAACTTCCACAAAAAATGACTGTCTTATAAAAAGAGGCCAGACGCGTTGGAGTGATTTAAATGCCGACAGTTTCTTGATTTTAAAACAGAATGCAGGCTTAAAATCACTTGTTACACCGCCATGTTTAGTACTGCACATTTCCATTTAATGTGTTTAGAAATTATCAGGCTGTCATACCATTTGTTCTCAACACACACACACACACACTCACACACACACACACGACAGGAGCTCTTCTATTCCCTGGGCTCATTATGTTCAGAACAAAGTGAGCGGTGGCTGCCAGGAGAGCAGGAGCGCAGAACAAAAGTACCTTTGTTTCAAACGTCGCCATATATCTCCAACAGGGTTAACAAGTGCGTTTTATCCTTGTGGCGGCAGGATTCTGATCCAATGTATTTAAGTCCCTTTTATTTGAAACAATATAGGATCAAAGAAAGCTAAGAAATAGCTCAACTGTATATTTTTTACAGGAGTTTGGTTTGCTGGACTAATTGAGTGCATATTTTTTACTCTAAATAAGGATTGTGACTCAAAATGCATGAGGGTTTCTTAAGTGTAGGTGAGAAATAATTAAGGATAAGCTACATTCAGTGTTTGAACAGCACAGGGACATAAAAAACAAAGCACCTTAAAGTATAATCTTGTGTTTTCTGCCCTCTGTTGGACGCTCTAAGTATTTGCACTGTATGCCATCACAGATTCACCCGCCCACTCACTCATCTGCAGACACAGGGAGGCGTGTACGTGTGATTAATGCTCTCCGTTTTCACATTTCTTGCTAATTAGCAGCTGCTTGTATCTCATACCGTCGGTTATTTAAAAGACATTTTATTTAGCCTGTGTCGATAGAGCCTCAGACAACATAATTACACGTTTAATTACTCCATGTTTGTAGTTTGTGTCGTGTAGGGGCCAATTTCATGGACAGAGTTTCTGCTTATTTACACTTTTCAATTACTGCCTTCCTCACATACTGCCAGTGGGGGAGATGGCAACTTCATGCAAAGATTTCTCTGTATTCTTTATTTACTTTCTGATATATTGTGTAACAGTTGCTTGCAGTGGGTATATCAGAGGACAAAGGACCCTTTACAAGATGAAGAATATACATGGGAACCCGTAATAAATGTCTATAATTTGTGTTACTCAATCGTAATTCAAATCATAACCAAGTTGATAAAAATGTATTTTAATGTTTTAATTTTCCTGGAGGTAATAATGTAACTTTTTATACAGAAAATCAAGACTTACAATTCGGACACTTCCAAATATTAACTTACAATTCACAAATGAATTATACTGGTATGAAAACGATGTAGCCGCGCTCTTACTGGGAGTCTTTTTATTCTGTCAGGGGACAAATGAATGGTGCTTTTGTTAAATGGACTTCCCCTTTTGTGATGGTGGGGATAACTGATGGTAGATATGTTGAATAATTAATATCCATTGCAAGAAAACACAACACATCCCCTTTCCCTACTCCTTTCATTTAAACTGTTTGATTTGTATCCTGTAGAGACTTCTGTATACATTGTGAAACCTTCCTCTGATGCAATTTTCCCCACATAAATTGACTCGAACTACACTGCAGCTACAGGCAATTAAATCGCGACTTGTGTCCCTGCGTTTCTACCAGATGTCTCTCCTGTAAGACACGCTGCCATCAGCCTCTCCTCCAGTCAAACTGCAGCGCTCTCAGCATAGGAATGAGTCTGCAGCGTCTGACAGAGACACCCACTGTTTCTTTATATAACACCTTTTTTTACAGCACCTATTTACCTTGAAATGATGTTGCCAAGTAACAGCATCCTGATTGTTGTGTGTGAGTGTTTGTGTGTGTGTGTGTGTGTGGGTGTCTTCATGCAGGTGTGTGTGTGTGTGTGATGGATGTGCTAAAGTGCCGTTATGGGCTTCTAACAGCAGCTGGGAAAATGACTTCAAGTCGTCCTTACCCTGCTGCAGATCTGCTGCTTTAAAAAGGTACAGACAGGAAGGAAGTCATACATCTCCACTGCACTTGAATCCTTACTGATGCTAATGCCTGCCGCCTTGCAAAGGGCAAAACACTTAATGATGCAGTTCATTGCACCTGCTTTTTCCCTTTTTTTTAACGTGTTTTTCACATTTTCTTCCAACCTCTTTCACCCTCTCTGTCTCAGCATGAGCTGCTTAACTGATACATGTACTACAGTAATCCTCTTCTTAGCGAATGGGATTAATATTTAATTCAAGAAGAGCCTTTTATCAATACCTCGCTGTGTTTTCATTGTTCGCCCTGTTTAGGGTGGCTTTACCCAGCTTTTGGCAAATTGAAGGAATGGCATTCATGTGATAGATGAAGCTGATAGGCGTATCAGGACATCGCCTAATCACTGGTTAAAAAGCCCACTAATTGCACATCTTAAGTGTTAGAGGGAGCAGTTAGCATATTGATAGAAATACAGTGCAAGTCACTGGGGTTATAAATGAATAATGTGAGAAATAACATACTATTAGTAATGCATTACAGCAACAAATATGCATTATATTCTTAATGATGCACTGCTGCGAGGCTTCTGAACCTGAACTATCCCTTCAAAGTCAATCCCTAATGGTTTCTGAACCTCTTTGTGCTTTATCCGTAAAACTCCAGGACTTGCATTCATAAAAAGTACCAAGAGCCTATTGTGCGCTGATCCACTGCAATGCTGATCCAGGATTAGCCCGGAGGCAGGAACACATGACAGAGTAAACTTCAGGAGGCGGTAAGGACACAAATGCCTCCTATATGACTCACTGTTTATGCTTTTGTAAGTGTTGCCAACATATTGCAGTGTGCAATCCAAACAAATATGATCTGCTGAGGGTTCTTTTCTGCAGGAGGGACCTCAGGGGGGTCAGGACCTGTTTGTTTATATGATGTTTCACATACAGAAAAACAGATCTCTAAAAAGAAAGGGATATCCTAGAGGCTTCAGGACAGTATAGAAGAACACAGCAATCAATCAATCAATCAATCAATCATGTTTACACAACTCAGCTGTCTCTACTGGCTAGTGTTTTTTTTCCTTGTCAAAAGTTACTCTCATTAAGGCTTTCACAATTGGGTAAAAAAATGCCCTCTGCTATAGCCTCCTTCTTCATGGCCTTCTACTGCTATCAAAATAGCTACACAATACTTTAAAAGAGATAAGTAATTAAAGAGATGTATGTTGTAGTGTTGTATCTTTGAACAACTGAAGCATGCAAAGCTATGTCCATGATATAAACTGGATTTTGGCTCCACCTAGTGTCTCATCTGTTCATTTGTGGTTTGCGTTTGCGTCATCACGCTTGCTCAATCCGTGGCATTCTGTAAACCTTCCCCTGCATCAAGTTAGCAAGAGGCACGCGGAGTTGGCCTTCAAAATAAAACATCGAAAGAAGATGATTAGAGTGAGTACTACATCATTTTTCGAAAGCAGTGGTAGAAGGAAACCAAGTATATCAAGAACTGTACTTAAGGTCAGTTTTAAAGACAGACAGACAGACAGACAGATAGATATGCGTTGCAGCAGCATAAAAAAACAAGGCAATGTACATAAGAGAAATGAAGACACAAAAAATAAACAGTCCAAAATATATTTTTTATATATTACAGTCCATATGTATATTTATCAGACTAAAGGTTGAAGCCAAAACTGGAATCAAAGGTTATTAATAATTCGTTGATTATTACTGTATTATTATTATTTGACTGTTATTTGAATACTATTTGTGATGCATTACATTGTTATACATTTTATTTTGAAATATCTGACAGGAAGTGATCGAGTCAAAGAAACCGTTTGACCGTTGCTTTTCACCAGGAACGGTGTTTTTCTAAAACGGCTGTACATAGCAGCCATTTCTGATCGTTTCTCCTGCTGTTTATTGTAGGTTTGTTGTGAGGGGAGTCTCTCTCGGAGTGACAACAACTCAAAGGTTTTCTTCTGGGTTGTTTTCCCAGCTGAATCCGGTCGGGATGGATCCAACGAGCCGATACCAAGTGGTGAGTTTGGGACGAGAAATATTAAAAACACCGAATCATAGCTCGGCCTGATACAGGAAACAAGGCCTTGGTAAACTTATTTTAAATTATATCACACATATCACAAAGATAATAAAGTAAAACAAGTCATTTTGCTTCTAAATTGTTATTTTTGTTGTATTTAAGGTGTTCATTTTTCCTCAGATTGTTATGTTTTGACTGACAGTTGGTACTTCCGCATCTGCTAAGCTAACGTTAGCTAGGTAGCAGAAATTAATCTTGTTTTGTTGTTTGTTGCCACAAACAACAATTGTTAAAATATATCAGAAGAAAAAACCACATCACATCAATGTTTGTTACAATAATTCAAACTCAGGGCTTTATGTACCAAAAAATAAGGTTAAAAACTAAATTTACAATAAAATACAATGAATTAAGGTGTTTTAAAATTGATTAAATTGTTGGGATTTTTTACTTTTGCTTCATTTATTTAAGCTTTGCATCCTGATTAAATATGTGATACACTTGATAAACCATGTCTTGGGTAGGACCATAATGACATTTAACATTGTGATAATAACAAAAATGATAATAACAAAGTAACTAACTGTTATAAGTGATCAGACTGTGTTATAACCCATTGCATACATTTTAATTAAGAACTTAATTGAGATTACACGTGGCAGTAAAATGTGTGTTACCACTATGAGAAAAAAAGCTATGTGGGTGTAGGGATGGAAAAAGAAGGCAACCTGACAATGTGGTGATGTTTGAGCTGACATTAAATGTGTCTAAATTAAATTGTCCTGCTCAAAGTAACAAAGAGTGGCTGAGACATGTTGGTGGTCACTTTGAAATAAAGTGCACTTTGTGCTCTGATGCCTATGGGCATGTGAGTTATAATCCCTCAGGATTCAGTGCCAGCCAAAGCAAACTCTAATTGTTCAACCCTGGAACAAAGTGCAGATTTCAACATTTCAGAGATTAAATCAGCTTTTAAACAGCGGACTCTCAAGGATGTGTTTTGACACTTTGCTGTACGACATATTCTTGCCTCGCTGATAAAAAAAGTTATCTGATGTGGTTTTTAGACAGCCTGATCTTCAATGCCTTTTTCCCTTTAGCTCTATTATTCTTCCCTAAATAACACTTACAATTGCTTTAAGTACATGGTATAGCTTCTCTGAGCAGGCCCACATGTTTTTGGGTATATTATACGAGGAGGCTATGTTATTACCACCTTATGTAATGTCCTGTGTGCGGGGGTGTGACATGCTTTGTCCTTGATTCTCAGCCACTCATTCACTCTAACCCCTGCAAGGTGGTTTCAATTGGTTTCCTTTCTGAGAACTGTATCTGCATTTCACTGAACAAGTGTCCTTCTAATAATGACTACACTGTATTCCTTTTTGACTACGGTTAGTAGATAGTTGAGCTCTGACTGTAGTTATCAGTCAGCTGTTATTACAGAGGGTGTTGCTTTACCACAACAGGAATATTTCCATGAAGTCTTAAGTAAACACAATACTTACTTTGTTTAACCTACCTTTCACACACATGGGTATAACACTGATCATTATCATTCTTGATAGATACAGAGGTTTCAACCTTGTATTCAACACAACCTTAACAACAAAACTGCAATGGAGGAAATGACTGAAATGGTAGAAGTGATTAAACTTTCAATGTTTTGTATCAACACAAGTCTGCAGATCAACAGCATAATGCTAGCTTTGGACATTGTGTTCTAGGAATTTACTCAAACGGCGTCACTTCCTTCTTTCAATTTCGTTTTTTAATAAATGTTTTACACGGCTCTAATCTAGTTGAACTTGCTCAGCAAAATTGAAGTAGTCGTCTACAGTTCTTATCTGTCAATAACAGGGTAGTGTAGAATCTTTCTAAGGGTAAACACCACTGGATGGACCATAACGTCACCACATTATATGGACTGCTGAGTTTCCCCCAATAATATAGGATTAAAAACTAAAAAACATTTTATCCAGGTCAATATAGTTATTATTGAGCATTAGGTTGAGGGATACTGTGTGAATTTCTCCCACACTTTGCCCATGCAGTTTTCCCGCCAGCTTCTCTGTAACTACAATTTTCTCTTTGCCCTTCTGTAATTTCACAGGGCGTTTGTCTCTGGTTTCTGTCACTCACTAGGCTGTAGTGGAGTCTGTTATTAACTGATTACATGAACGCATCACGCTCTCAGAGACCTTCCTGTGTCGACATACCACTGTAGTCTCACGTCTCTTTGCTTACCGTGCCAAACATTCAGCTAAAGATCAGACGGGGAAGTTATGACCCTGCAAACATATGAGCTGCAGACTTTTTCAACTCAACAAATACTTCCAGATAGCTGTTAAATCCAAGGTTGTAAATTCAGTGGAAGCACCGCGATAAAAACCACTGTGAGTTAAGCCAGTTTAAAAGGTCTTTTTTCATTTGCAGTATATTCATACAGCTCTGACACATCAATGAGATACAAAGGAGCTGGTTTACATCCCTCATAGTTAGGCAATTTGAATACAATGTGGGAATAGCGGACACGCCAATACCAGTTAAACTACTACATAGAGAGGTAATAACTCAATATAAATACAACCATGCAGCCCTCAAAATGTTTGGTTTCATTTTCATAAAACTTGAAGGGAGTATAACTAATGAAGACAAACTAACCAGTACTACACTTTTATTCTTAGCACTGTGATATAAACAGTAATATCTAAACTACTGGAAAAATGCACCATATGCTAAAGTTTCAACCAATTTCATACTGCATGTTTTTCAAAGTTGTTGCCCATGTCAACACACACTCACTCAGCTTAGAGTATCAACAGAAAAAAGGGAACAAGAATCCGTTCTGCCTGACCCACATTCTGCGCTGACAAACAAAAACAGATTGTGTAAAGCTTATAAGTTACTTAATAACTACCTGATGCAGTGCAGCTTTCAGTGCCACTATAAAACTGATTGGCTTAATACGTAGCTTAAATAACAATGGCCCTGTTTCATGGTGTTCTATAGAAAGCTGTTCTTTTTTCTCTCAGCTCTAAAAAGCCGTTCTTTCTGCCGGGCAGGAAATCCCAGATTGATGCCATTTTTAGAAACTTGACACATCGCCTCAAGCAGCTACTCGTTTGTTCGGCTGACTGATCAGCTGATATCGCCGAACTCTCTAACCCCCGACTCATCCACCAGACTCAGGGACAATAAGACTGTTAATAACCTGGACTTTTGAAAGGACATCCATAACATTCATCTGTCTGCAACTTATATATATATATCAATATTACAATTACTTGTATATAGACTATATCTTTTCTGTAAAGCACTTTGGGCTGCTTTGTGCATGAAAGGTGCTATACAAATAAAGTGTATTATTATTATTATTATTATTATTATTATTATTACATATGACAATAAAAGCCTTGAACCTTGAATCGTGTTCCTCCAGTTCCACAATGAGGACGACTCTTCTGAGGCCTCGACCAGCGAGCCGCAGCCGTGCACTTCTGCCTCCGTCCAGGCTGCCACATCCAGCCCGGACCAGAACCAGACCCAGGTGCTGGCAGGGGAAGCATCGGGACCCATCGCTCAGGGGGAGTCTGACTCTGAGGCTCCTCCCCCCCCTTACGCCTCCATCGACCTGGGAGCCTCCGCAGCATCCGGTACGCACTGAATCACACTCTGTATATTATGTACTTCCTCTATTTTCCAGTTCCTAACTCATGAGTCAGTGATGATTTCCATGACAGCGCTAACACATTAGCTTCATAACATGCAGTCCTGTTTCTTCCCCTTTTCTTTTATTGACGTTTAGCAGCAAACAATTAGTGTTTTTTTCAAGACATAGTAATTGTACATCTTAAGTTTGTCTGTCCGAAATTGTCCGATCAATACGAACATTAGGGATCGATCAGGACTTCACAGTGAAATCATACGTTTGTAAAAATAAAATCTGGCCTATGAGGTTTTACGAAATCAGTCCACTTTCTCCATCCAATAGTTCCAGTTTGTGATTGACAGATGATGTTATCCTCTCCATTTTGTAAATGTCCATGGTAATATCCATCCATGCGTTTAAAGTTGGGCTATCAGGTGATAACCACTTCTTTGTAAGAGCTTTTTTACTCACCACCAGCAACAGATTTAATATATATCAGCTTTTTCAGTCCATCCTTGAGGTATGAGTCCAAAAAACAAAGTCTTACTCTCCATGGGAACATGACATTTGGCATTATGTATCTCTCTCCAAAAGACCTCAATAACAGGGCAGTCCCAGAAAACATGATAATGATTTGCATTTGAATTTCCACAGCAGTCTGGGGAGTTTTTTCATCCCCTTTTAACCCCCTCCTCTCCCTCTCTGTTTCTCCCCACAGAGACCAGTTATAGAGCGGACTTCCCAGTGCCCCCCCCCTACAGCGTCGCCACCTCACTGCCCACTTATGACGAAGCAGAGAACGCCAAAGCAGCCGCACTGGCTACCTCCGCTGTGGATATGATGCCACAGGTGAGGACACACGCTCACACACATTATGTCACTGTTCTGTGTTTCTATTACCTTGTTTCATTAAAGTCTTAAGTAAAGTACAATTAACTGCAAGCTTGGGATGCTGATTCTGCAACTTACAGACACTTATGAACTAAATAAATGGTAGTAATTGGTCTTCATTACATGTAGAAGTTGTATTACGTCTCTTATGTGCTAAGCTACATATGATGAATTCCACCAGTATCAGATGAGTCATTCTTCTTTAGAGTTGATTTAGAGATGATTTGTGGCAACGCCTCTTAGTCAAACAGCTCTCAGGGTGATCTGTGGTCTTTGTGTAGTGGATGTTTAACTGAATGTATATTTGGTAAATGCAGGATGATGAATTCCCTCCCAGAGACGATTTCAGTGACGCCGATCAGCTCCGAGTTGGGAACGATGGAATCTTCATGTTGGCCTTTTTCAGTAAGTCTGAGGGCTTGAGCCACGATTAATATTATAATTGTTCAACTCCAGTGTCATGTATCCCTTTTAGGATTGTTCCTGACGTAAACACATGGCGTAACGTGACGTCACACAAGGCCAACATTCAGATGATTATCGTCTTGTGTTTGCATTTCATTTAAAGTAGTCCTAATCCGCCTCCAACAACATGCAATTCTCACCCTACATAAATGCCCAGGGCAAAAACACATTTCTTTATTATTGATTCTGCAATAAATAAGTGTTTTGAAGACTTGGCATTGCTATGTCCGTCTCTTTTGTCGTTGTAAAACAATTTGAGTGGTTGCCTCTGTGTTTACCCCTGCCATTTCTTTATTCTTGTCGTTTTTAACATCTGTTTTTCCCCGCAGTGGCCTTCCTGTTTAACTGGATCGGGTTCTGCCTCTCCTTCTGTCTGACAAACACCATCGCCGGACGCTACGGAGCAATCTGCGGCTTCGGCCTCTCCCTCATCAAGTGGATCCTCATCGTCAGGGTACGTTCACAGTTGTACTTTCTGTGCCTAATTGAATTGTAACTTCCTTGTGTACTGAATGTGACGGTCTGTGTGTTCAGTTCTCTGACTACTTCACCGGCTACTTCAACGGGCAATACTGGCTCTGGTGGATCTTCCTGCTGCTCGGTAAATATATTGCAATGTTTATATATTATTTTGAAGTCTTGCATTATTTTGCCCTTTCTCAAGTGAACTGTGTTTTCCCTCACCAGGCATCCTGCTGTTCTTCAGGGGATTCATTAACTATCTTAAAGTCCGCAACATGTCAGAGAATATGGCGACTAACCATAGAACACGCCTGTTCTTCCTCTACTGAAAAGGTAAATATCTTCGAAAAAAGTAGGTCACAACATCGCTGCTTTCTGTAATGTTTTTTATCTGATTTCTCACAGGTTTCCACATTATTACCATTCCTTTCTGATGTAACCCCCCCAGCCCCCCCCCCCCCCCCCCCCCCCAGCCCCCCCCCCCCCAGCCCCGCCCCGCCCCTTCCTCTAATGACCTGAGTGAGAAGCCTTGCAGTGAAGAGAGGAGACGGGGAAGAGAACGTAGGGAGAAAGTGCTACTAGTCTCATTAAAAAAACGCCTCACTGAACTTCTGAACTCAGTCGAAAAACAAGTCTTTGATGATCAGTCTCCTCCCTGGCTTTGTTTTTCATTTCCCTTTGATTCAAAGCTCTTAACATTTAAGAAAGGGTCCCATGTATGTGTCATGTATCTCAATACGATAAAATAATTCGCCCAAAACGAGATATCAAAGAGATTAAAAGTCGTGGAAACATCACAATGGAACTATTTCAATAACTTCCCCTGTGTAAACAAACGAGACACCAGTGCTTTCAGCTTGTGTCTGACATTTACAAACAGACAATGTACAGGAAGTGGAAACATTTGATATTCAAATCTCCCCGTCAGCTTTACCTATCATTTAATGCGACAAAGATCAAGGATCAAGAGTGCAGCTTGATTGACCTTTTGCTCATTAAATGATATCGTGGAGCAGTTTGAGCACTCGCTAAGCCATTCCACAATGTTTAAGTTCAGGGAGTTTGGAAAAAGTCTTACTTTATTACAGTAGCATTTTTACATTTTAACTAACGTGTGGCGAAAGTCAGTCTACTTGAGCTGACAGTGTGCATCCTTCTAACATCTGAGCCAAGAGGAAATGTAGAATATTTTCATCCTGATCGCAGAGACCCTGAAGCTTTTAGTGTTTCTTCAAATATGACAGAAAACTGAATTAATTCAAAACTAATCAGATGAATTAAGGTATTTTGAAATAGCTGGAAAAGGAAACAAGATATTTTTAATACTCTCTTTTTGAGCCACTAGCAGACAAATGTGTGCTTTACTAAAAAAAATACCAAAAGCTAACTACAGAAGTTGCTTTGTTCGGCTTTCTTTGCCTTTTATAAGACTTCCTGATCCGACCTATGCAGTGAAGATGTTCATCATGACATACTTAGAGGAGCAGGGCTACACTTGAATCAAAGACAAATGGAAAAGCATCTGCCTAACTATCAAAACCAAATCTTTGTTCAGAAACACATCTGGCGAAACAGTAACTGAGGAGATCAGAGGAGGCTCTTTGGATGAATCAGTGTTTCCAGATCGGAGGAAAGTAGCCGAAAAGCAGCTTCATAATATTAATAATTAACATTTTAAATATGGTTGCGTGCCAGGTTAGAATAAAACTCTTAGGAATAAAAGAGCTGTATGCAATTTAGTGATTTGTAAAGACCTACAATAGTCCTGTGATCGTGGAATAGGAGCACACTTGCCAACAAAATATTTTGATTACTAATAATTGTAATAAAAACTATTAAAATATGACTGGTTGTTCATGCAGAGAAACACTTGGATCACGCCCTCGGACATTAGCTTTTATGATCAGGAAAAAAAAAGATATTTTCATAGAGCGAGAAGCGTTTTGATGTTTCCTGTTAGCATGTTGCTTATAGGGTAAATCATTTGGTAAACTGAGAACATTATCAGTGAGTGATACAGCGATGAAGCCGTGGAAATGGATCCTGACTGGACGAATAAAAACAGGCTTTTTTTGTGATTATTTTTGTCATCCAGAAAAATGAAATGTATATACCAGCTTATGCCAATTCATAATATTTGCACTTTGAATAACTTTCTGTACAGTATGATGTGTGGATCTGCTTAACTTGATGTGGTGGATAGAGAGAAAAACTAGTAGCCATCCAAGTTTAACAACTGGAATTCTTAATCATCCCAAATGGATAATTTGCCTTTTGCACTTTTTGTTTTTCAAAAATGATAATATTGTTATTGTGTGTCTCGTTGCGTCTACTCTAGCCTAAACTGTGACAGCTTAAGTATTGGCCAACTTTTAAAATGCTTTTCTTTCCTCTCTTTCGAACTCTAAAGCCTCTTTCAGCGATGTCAAGGACTCAAAGCTCTGCTGCATGATTTATCCAGAGAACGAGTAAGGGTTAATATTAGAATGAATCTTAACTACATTTCTTTGTTTGTAAATAAAGAAAGAAAAAATCACACGGCAGCCAAACTATTTTTTGTCCGAGGTAATCCTTGTAACGTCGTCTGAAACAGGTGTTATGCATTTATTGTAACTGGAATTTAATGACCAATGATTTCTTGCAAAAATGCCAATAAAGTTCAAATGCCTGCCGGTTAAAATGTTATGTTTAATTGTCTTTTTTTTGCACTTAAACCCTGAGTTTTGTTAAGGCATGTCATCAAGCTTATGGTGTATTATCACCCCTGTCCTTCAATAACCAGATCAATAATCAAACAATCCAACCAGGTACATCACATTCAAGAGAAAGTTAAATAGATAAGATATTATCAAATAAACAATGTTACCAGTAGCAAGCACTGCACTGGGTTTACTATCACTGCTAGTTGTATTCATTAGGTCCACCAGATGGAGGCAAATACTTGTTGTCAGCTTCTACTGTAGTAGTTTACTAGCAACACTACTATATTTGGGTCATGGGAAAGCACCTCGAAACATCAAAAAAAGTCTGGGATGCTATAAACGTCATTGTTTTATTTAATTGATGACGCTTTTAGGGCATGCATGGGTCATCATCCACACAAAACATCCTTCTTTTTCAGCTAAAATAACGCTGTATTTGTTCATTTGTCTTCAAGAAATAAAAGTACTCTATAATCAGAGCTTATGTTCAGCGAAAAGACCCGAAAAGAGGGCAAATTGTAATGAAGCTGCTCCATAAATATGTATGGAGGAAGAGAACAACTAAGGAGGAAGACTGGAGGAAAACCACGGAAACATCTGGAGTTTCCTGTGAGTTAGTCAGAGGCTAAATGTCAACACAAACAAACAGCTGGACTACATATTCTATAAAAGGGTATTTCTGTTGCACACCACAATAGGAGTAATGATCTTCTCAGGAAGTGTAAATCAGACTGAATGAGTGTCCAAGGGTAAAGAAGCTCAAACATGTTGTATGCTTTCAACACCAAACACAGCAGCTGGTAAATATATTACAAATGTCCTACCTCAGAGTTTCAGAAGAGAGAAGATGATCCTTCAGCTGCTCTGGATTCTTCCCCCAGATGTCCTCCATTGAAGCTGCATGTCTACAAGTGTGTGACAAACAAAAGCATCTGTCTTAACATCCAACACAACTGCACTTTAATCAACATTGGAAAGAGGAAAGGTGCGTAATGTTAATGAATACAAAAACAAACCGTGAAGAATCTTCCATCGTTCCCACAGTGTGGCAGACGTCCATTCACTGAAACACAAAATAAATAATATCATTAACATTTTAAGTTGAATTTATTTAGATTAGTTGCAAATTAAACCATGTTGCAAACATTCAAGCTAAGTGTAGTGTGTATGACGTGGAACAATAGGATATTCACACTGAATAATTCACTTTTCATTCATATCTATTTAAAACATTTAAGCTTATATGAAAGTGTGTTTTAAGGAAACACTAAATTACCTAGTTTTGGGATCTGTGGCAAGTTGTATCACATTAAAACACTTGTTTGGTAACAGATATGACTACTGAGTCGTTGCTGAATCATAGAGAAGTCAGACACAGTTTCACAGATGGTAATGACAGAAAATAGGCAACATGTGCTGTAAATTAAAGGTACAACTGCTGCTGAATATGTTACACAAAATAATGCAATAAGCTTAACAAACCATATATGATATCCACCACAGTATAACTTATGAAGTCTTTAAAGTACTTAAAGGACATTTAACTGCAGGTAGCTTGGTTGTGTGTGTGTTACGCTGTCAACTGGTGGAGTTGATTATCTCAGACAATAACAGAGGGAAAAATCTTAAAAACTCGATATAAAAACACAATTCCTCCTTACATAATCACTACTTTTCACCCCTGCATTATTTAGGTTTATTAGACAGCTTTAAACGTTTTTTTATTTCGCCTCAAAGAAATTAGCAACTGTACAGAAAGCACGAGTTAGCAACAAATGCAGAGACTCGTGTTTGTTTGTTTGTTTGTTTGTTTGTTTGTTTGTGTGTTTGTTGAGGCTTTAACTGACCTCATAACTCACAGGAAAGTTCACTTCTTTCTGTCGTTTTCACCATCTCTCTCATGTTTCATCTTGTCGTCCTCCATGCGTCATTATGGAGATTCATAACCGGCGTCTGTGCGAGGTATCCGCTCGAGCTGTTTGTTCGCCGCCGCCTCCCTCCTCGCGACAGTTCGCCGACCCGAGCGAAGTCGCGTGCGTCCTAGCGAAATGGGAATCACAGGATGAGTTTCTTCGAGTTTCTTTTATTATTATTTTAGTTGCTACTTTTTTTAATAACCCTAATTCACTTATCAGTATGTCTTTTTTCGAAACTGTACCTTGTGCATTTAAATCTAGGCTATTCCAAATTGTAATTCACTTGCTAACTTATAATGTAAATAGTTAACATTGTTTAAAGTAACTATGAGTGTTAAAATAAACGAGTAAAAATATACAATATTTGCCTCTTAACTGCAGTGGAGTAGAAGTATAAAGTAACATTAAATGGAACTACTTTTTTACCTAAGTACTTAAGTACAATACTTGAGTAAATGTACTTACTTTTCACTGCCTATCTGTTTTTTAATCGAGGTAAAGGTGCGCGTAATTTGTCGATCTATCCACTTTACGCATGCGTCAGCGTTGCATGAATCTTCCATACATTGACTTTTATCCCTTTTTAATGCACAGTTTTGCTGCAGAACTACTAGATGATAGTTTACTACGTTGTTTACATGTGATGCGTTCAGCAGCTGAGCCTCTCTGCAGGGAAAGAGTCACTCTGCAGGAAACACCCCGGAAGTCTCATCGTGCAGAGAAGCAGCATGGCACCGGTGTGGAATAACTTGTTGACGTGTTCCCTTCTCTACAAACAACCTGCGCATTCTGCTATCCCGTCAACATTGGTAAGTAAATACTGTTAGTAGACAGTGTTGTTGTTTTACGCGTGGGTCAGGTTTACTCACAGTAACGCTAACATTTATCAGAAAGGTCTGAATGTGTCACGTTCCACTTCCGTGTTTACAACCTCACAATGGCGTAGCGTAAACAGTACTGTTGTATGTGAGACACTTCATGTATATTGTATTTATATAGTTTAATGTTGACCTTTTTATGTTTTTCATTTAAAAAGCTTTCTGTGCCAACAGGTTTGTTGTCCTGAATACTAAGATCATTTAAATCTCCTGTGGTGCATCAGTCTCCTGAATGTGTTCAGAAACGGATTTACTTTGAACACTTTGACATCTATGAAGCTTGTTGAAATACACGAGATTCATTATCTACTATTTTCTGACAGGTATTTTGACAAATGTAAAGCTGTTTTATCATCTTCAAATCACTGAAACCAGTGGAGGAGGAGGTTATTTTGGACCCTTTAATTGAAGTATGAGTAGAAGGTGAGCTGATGTAGAATGGCTTGATTTAATTTCATAGTTTAGGAAACCGTGACAAATGTATTATTGTATTTGTCATAAAAAATCACGTTGATGTTTCTTGAGAAAATACATGTTTAATCAGTCAAATGTACTTAAGTACTTAATGCAGAAAGAATACATTTAACCACTCTAAATATTCTATAAATAATTAAAAGGGAAACAATTACCACGTAGAGAAATACAGCAGCCATCAGTCCCTGAGATAACATCAACCCTTCTGTACGCCTTACTTTTTTGACGAAATATTTGTTTCCCGAGGTGAAGAATATTTTAAAAATACACAATAAATACCTGAAAAAGTCAAGAGAAAAACTAGTTTTTTAAATGTCTTAAACCAGAATAATCCTAACGCGTTCCCTCTCTTAATTTCTCCCCAAGATGAGTGCAGAGTTTCTGGAACACATCTGAGGACGGCCGGGTTTCTTCACTTCTTCTCTTCTTCCTCCACTCGTGGTAAAGTATGGCATTTAAAAGTCTTAGTAAGCGCAAACCTTTAAATGTCTTCAGAACGTCTTAGGAAAGTAAAAACTTCATTTATTAGTGTCAGAAAAAGTCATAGTATAGTGTGTCATAATAAAAGTCATAGGAAAGTCATAGTATATAGTATAGCAAAAAATTCATAAGAGTGATTAAAAGTCACAAGCATTTCATTACAATGTTTGCCAAAGAGAAGTTACAAAAACAATGACATTTTTCATAAAAAGTCGTTTAAAAAGTCAGAGCAGAAAATCATTAAACTGCAAAAAGTCATAGAAAAGTTAATTAAATTCACAATAATTAGCAAATAATGTCCTTAAAATGTGAAATGCCTTTAGAAAATCATAAATAGTTTCTAAAAGTCATTAATAATGACGTATAAAATAAATTTCATTTTTTTTTTTTTAAAAAGGTGATTATTACTCGTCATGATAAATATAACTTAAACCATTCCTCATTGTATGACCCAGTGGCTCACCTGGTAGGGCAGGTGCACAGTGAGCCGGGAAGAATCCTAGATGCCAGGGTTCGTATCCCCCCTGCGGCTGCAGTGCTGCTTTTCAGGACCAAAAAAAGCTAAAATTTGGAAAAAAAAGATTTTCTTCAATTTTGTAATCTCGTTCTGCTCGTTCTGCTCGTTCTGCTCGTTCTGCTCGTTCTGCTCGTTCTGCTCGTTCTGCTCGTTCTGCTCGTTCTGCTCGTTCTGCTCGTTCTGCTCGTTCTGCTCGTTCTGCTCGTTCTGCTCGTTCTGCTCGTTCTGCTCGTTCTGCTCGTTCTGCTCGTTCTGCTCTCCTACACTACCTCCCTCTCATCCTATGCTACCTGCCTCTCCTACGTTACGCGACCCTACACTTCCTGCCTCACTTACTCTGAACTACCTGCCTCATCTACTGTGCACTACCTGCTGCAGCTACTCTGCCTAACTCAGCTACTCCGAGTATCGAACCCCGTACATGCTAAGCGACAGACCCGAACTCGACACCAGCGCCTTAATGCCGAGAACAGACCCAATCCGGCCACCATCACATGTACATGAAGACCTGTGCTCCGGGCGCATTTATCTTCTTCATTTTGAGTAAAGCACTTTAAAAATCACTAAAGCTCACGAGGACTCGAACACACAACCTCAGGTCTTCTGACCTGACACTTATCCCTCTGAGCTATCTGTCCTGAGATGATTACGTTTCGAAGAGCTTATGACCGGTTCATTTGGGTTTTTGAACCTTAAAGATTACTGCACCTGAAAAGCCTTGAACCCACAACCTTCAGTCTCACAGTCTGTGTTCTATCCCTCTGAGCCACTTGACCAGTGACTGCTACATTTCATTTGGTAACTTAATTCTCTACTTTGGATGGTTAGACTTAGAAAATGCATGGATCTCATGAGGATCAAACCCAAGACTCCTTCTCACCTGAGCAGCGTTGTACCCCACTGAGCTATTTCATTTGTGAAAGTCTTGGGTTGTTTGGTAGATTATGTCACAATGACAATGTAAAAAAGGAAATAGAACAAGCTATTGTGCAGTGCATCCAATAAAACTATCCTTGTAAGTATGTCATACAATTGTGCCACCAACATTTTAAAATGAAAAACTCTTCTCTAGGCTTTTTTCCCACCATTTTGGATGTTTTACCTGAAAACCAGTGCAAATAAAGAGGATTGAACCCACAACCTCCAGTCTTCAAGTCAGTGTTTCTTCCCAGTGAGCCATTTGACCTGGGCCAATAAACTTTTGTTTGGCAATGTAATTCTGTACTTTGGGTGTTAAACTTCCAAAAATCTATGCACCTCATGGGGATCGAACCGAAAACTTCAGCTCACCTGAGCAGCGTTGTATCACCCTGAGCTATTAGATTGAGACAGTGACCTGTTGTTTGGTAGATTATGTGACAAATAAAAATGTAAAAAAGGAAATAAAATAAATCATAGTGCAGTCCATCTGAAAAAAACTGTCCTTGTATGTCACACAATTGTGCCACCAACATTTTAAAATGAAAAACTCTTCTCCAGGCTTTTTTCACACCATTTTGGATGTTTTACCTGAAAACCAGGTGCAAATAAAGAGGGTTGAATCAAGAACCTCCAGTCTTCAAGGCAGTGTTTTATCCCAGTCAGCCATTTGACCTAGCCCATATGTGTTGCGTTCGGTAATATAATTCCACACTTTGGGTCTTGGACTCCAGAAAATCCCTGCACCTCATGGGGATCGAACCTTAAACCTCAGTTTACCTGAGCAGCGTAGTATCACTCTGAGCTATCAGATCTGAGACAGTCAATGGTCATTGTCCAACTGTCCAAGACTTTGTTTCAAAAAGGAAATGTAAAAAAGCAATTGCATAGTTTGTCATAAAGCTGTGCCTAGAACAGTTACCATGGACACAAGTAAATGTAAAACTCTGCTCTTCTTTCATCTGGATGTTTAATATCACTGCTCCCTCTAAGAATCAAACTCACAACCTCTGGTCTCCTGATCCTTCTCATATCACTCTGAGCTAAACGACCTGAGCACTCTGTCAGTTGTCTGGTAGAGAGTTTCTCTTGGTAGGAGTTGTGAAACAAAGTCAATGTGAAGAAAGTCATAGTATAGTATGTAACAGAATTGCACCACCACCAGATGTTAATGTAAAACTGTTCTCTTTGCTTATATGAATTCATTATCTTGGGTGCTTGACCTTAAAAGTCCCTGCAAATGATAAGCATTGAACCCTCAACGTCCTGTCTTCAAGGCAGTGTTTTATCTCTGTGAGCCATCTGACCTGGGTTGACTCTGTGTCGCTTGGTAATCTAATTCTACACTTTGGGTCTTGGACTTCAAAAAACATTTGTACTGGGTGGGTGTTGTATTTGTAAAAATCACTGCACTTCATGAGGATCGAACCGAAGACTACAGTTCTTCAGAACATCACTCTATGCTATGAGATCTGAGATAGCTCTCTGGTAGAGTTTGTGTCACAACCTCTGCATGTTTGACTAATTTATTATGGGTGTTGGACTTTCAAAACCTAAGTATCGAACACACAACATCAGCTCTACTGAGCTTCCTCATAAGTCCATGAGCTATGAAATCTCATAGAAACAATATAATAACCTTTCAAAGTAATTTTCTTTGTGGTCGACCCAAGTAGGAACCAAACACATAACCTCAGCTCTACAGACCACACATCTTCCACTCTGAGCTATCTGACTGAACACACTTCACAGTTGTTAGGGACACATTTGTACTTCTTCTGTGGGAAATTGGACTTATAAAGTTACTGCACCTAATAAGAATCAAACACACAACCTCAGATCTTCCAACCTAACATCTATCACTCTGAGCTGTATGATCAGATGTGCTTTCTATATTTGTGTTAGAGCTTTTGATTTCTTCTCTCTTGGTGTTGGATCTAACGCTAAATTGATGAACATATTGCACACTGTTGGAGTTGCACTCACAACCTCATGCTTTCTGAGAGCTTCTTTATCACACTGAGCTAATCCATCTGACAGGCAGTGTTACATAAAAATACAGTATTCAATAAGAGCGACTCGTGAAATAAGTCATTCATTTAGGAGCTGAGCCAAAAAAGTCACATTACCTTAATAAGAATTGAACTCATAACCCTAAAGCTTACAACGAGCAAGTATGCATTACAATGTTCTTAGTAGGCTTATCTTAGTACGCTGAAGAGTGACAAATAATGTAATACAAACAATCACCTCTTAAACTTTATTGTACGGTCATTTTATTTCCAAATGCAGGTTTTTAGGGCTTGTTGACACAGCGTATGAATATAGAAATGAGGCATAGAGAATAAAAGAAAGCAGCAGTCTTGTGGCCTATTTTAACACAGTTTTTGAGCAGCATAAAATACAAAGCTTGTAAAACATCCTTGAGGGATCATATTAACATAATAATATTAATTACAATAATAATGGCAAAGTTTCATGTGATCAATGCAAATCAATACAGGCGTGCGTGAAAAAATGCATAGCAGGCAACAAAGTGAAACAACGGTCACACTTAAGAAGTGTGCTGCTGCATATATTTGCAGGAACACATGCCATCTAAATGCAAGGAGCATTTGAGGTGTGGTTAAAAAATAGTTTATGCAACTAATAACCAAATATTTAAAGAGCAGAGACTCAATGCAGACAGCGAAGCTTGCATATAGACAAAAAGCAGAGCCAACATCAGTAGACCCTTCACAATAAAAGCACATCTGGACCACATTTGTTAAAGTTAATATACCAACTGTAACATTAAGTGTGAATCCAAACTAAAATCATGGTTATGCAGGTATGTAGCGGGCCCTAGAAGCTGTCCTTTTTTAGGCTGTAGGTTTTGGTTTGTAGTCCTTGGCTCACGTCTCAAATCTCTTCAATTCAACAAGAATGCCTTTCATGTTTTTACCAGCAAAGGATTTCTCCCAGACGTACACCTCGATGATCCTGATCCCAGACCCCACCGCGGATCCTGTCGTCAGTGAGAACAGAAGAAAAAGGAAATGTAAGTTTAATGAACACTGCAGAAATTGTTTATTAAAAAACAATGGGGACAACTTCTATGTGAAAGCTACATTGGATCCTATTTTGAACATTACTGGTTACAAGGTTACAAGGTTCTTCCACTTACAGCTACTTAAAGTAAAGTTATGTCACGTCTGATGATTGGGACTTCAGTGCAGTGAGAAACCAGGTTATTTTATATTATTTATTACTTGACCATATGTATTGTTGAGGAAATATTTTCCTAGGCCCATAACTTTGACCCAGTTTATCAGTTTGGACTGCCCTCACTGGAGCACTGAACTTAGAAAAGAGTCTTCCAAACATCATCATCACTTGATCATGAGCACCACAATGCCTGCCAAGCATGACGGACCGATCTCCGCCCACAGCAGCCCCCCCCACAGGAAGTGCAGGAAGACGGACACCTGGAAAGAGAATGTACCAAAACAATATTTGCACCGGGGCCAATCACAACCTTGTTACGCCACTGATTGTAGGCTGGCCTATCAAAGTACACTGACTTCAATTGTATATTTAATAGAGATACTCTAGGTATACCTCTTTCACTGTTAATATGTGCACATGTTGTATTCTGTTTATGTTTAAATAAATATACTTTATAAAGTAGTTTTAAGGTAAAGTCCTGATTCTTTGACACTGGAGACAGAGATTTGAGGCGAAAGAAAAGAGTAAAATACTTTATTGTATCAGTTAGATCAACAGAAGGCACACGTACAGTATCTGAGCGTAGACGTTACACCGGTGTCAGTATCGTTCTCCAGCTTCTCCTCCACTTTGTGATCATATAGTAAAATATACCATTACATTATCTGCAGGGAGGAAGTCATTTATCTCTCAGAGGCTGGAATTAATACAATACATTAGCAGGCTTCACTTTTCAGCTCATAGTACAACGTCAAGCAAATGCAGCCTTTTGCAAAAATATATTCATATATAATTATACACCTTTTCTACACATTGAAGCAAATGAACTATACAAAATGCAGAAAACTAGCTTGGTGCGATAACAGATGAGCCGGTTGTAGGAAAGTCTATGCTTATTAGTAGCATCATAGTGACAGTATTACAGAAAAATAGTAGCAGTACCTTTGTCATAAAACAGTTTAGGAAAAAGTTCATATAATGCCAAAAATATTAGCTTTTGAAAACAAGAAAAAGTACACAAAAGACATTTCTCAATATACATGTTTATAGGAGGACTATAACATCTGGAAAATACAAGTGTGTCCCTTTCAAGCAGTATAAGGTTTACCCAAAAAAACAACAATTAGAAGTAAATTAGTTAAAGGAGTGTTCATGGTTTTGAGATACTTTTTGGTTGAAATACAGATCCCAGAGTTCACGTACGCGAGGACTACGGCGACGGCCATGCTACAAAAAGTACAACCAGGCAGGCTGAGGGGAACAGCTGTGAGTCACAAAATTAGGAACAAAAACTGTCTTCTGATGAGAGTAAAATATTAAAAACCTGTTATATTCTGTGTCGCATGTTTGTGGGAAAAAGTACTGTTGTTTTTAGTTTTAGTATAATTTCTAATTAAGTTACGACCTTATCTCAAAATGATATTATGACCAATTGTATATTTTCTCCTCAAAATATGGGCCGTTTCCCATGACATACAGACCTTTCTCCCAAAATGACAACCACATCTTGAAGTAAAGCGTCTTATTTTCTTAATATAACTTTAAATCTAAATGTTAAAGCTCGTTAAAGAAAATAAATAAGACCTAAATCAGAATTAAACAGTATTGGGCCAAATATGCACGTGTGCTGAGGGAGTTAAAATCAACCATCTCCAATTTTGCAACCAGTATTTTTGGCTAAAAGAGAGTTTGACATTTAATATAACTTTAAATCTAAATGTTAAAGCTTTTTAAAAGAAAACAAATAAGACCTAAATCAGAATTAAACTGTATTGGGCAAAACATTTACCATCTCCAATTTTGCAACCAGTACTTTTGGCTAAAAGACAGTTGAAAAAAATACAAAATCTCTGATGAATTCCTCTTTCCTGGGACGTATACATGTTGAAAACACTGCTCAGTAATTCAGCTTCCTCCTGTCAAATATCTCATGTTTCGTCCAACCTGTGGAGTTTAATAAGGGTAGTTTTCGGGGAAAGCCCCCCCCTCAGCCAGGTAGGGACCCTCCTCCTCATAGCTGGGCGGAGGGGGGCCTTCTTCCTCGCCGGGGGGCAAGATGGCGTCCGGGTCGGCCTTCAGACTCGGCCTCTGGTTGTCTGGGAACGCCATGGAGAACAGCGCGTCGGGGTTGCATACGAACTTGTAGACGTACCTCTCCCCGGCAACCTAGGACGAGCCAATCAGAGGAGAGAGAAATTAATGATGCACTAAAATGCCCGAATAATTATTTTGTGATTCTGTGTATTTTGTTTTACATTTAAGTTATTATTATTATTATTATTATTATTATTATGGACTACAGTATTCAGACTTTACCTAGCAGTAATATGCAAATGTTCTAATAATGAAAACTTCACACAGAAAGGGTCAGTGTATCAGTAGACTGGAGATAAATACAATAGTATGTCCTTAATGTCATTAATATGTTTGTTTTTGTGTAAGCAGAGTTAAGTGTAAACTGTATACTGATGTGTATGGCCAAAGACATATGTGACATATCAATAAGACCAATAAAATACCTGAAATTGGAATAAAGTGGATTTAATTAAGTTGTTTTTTGTAGGGTTAATGGGCTATCTTCATGATGAGTGCATAAGAAAACCCTTTAAAGTTGAGATAAAATGGCACTAATTTGTGATAACAGTGAAGTGAAACCTGCCTTTACCTTCTGCATAATGCCCTTCTCGTAGTAGTACCTCAGCGAGCGACTCAGCTTGTCGTAGTTCATCGCCGGACGATTCTTCTGCAGACCCCAGAGCCGAGCCACCTGTACACAGAAACAAAATTAAAATATTATACATCAGCCAAACAATAGCTTTCACCTCTGATACTGAACTGTCCGTAAAGCTTGCAGCTAATCAGAATGAATCCTATATCTCTCAGCAATTGAATTCAACTATTCGTTTCTTATAAGCAATAGGCCATTTATTTTGGTCCCACCGAGTGAAGATTCCTCCAAAGGGTTAAGGAATATTCACGCCTTTTAGAAAGTCCATGTGTGTGATCAGAGATGGCAAAAGTACACACATCCTTTACTCAAGTAGAAGTACAAATACTCTTGTAAAAGTAGAAGTACTGACTAAACTTCTTTCCTCAAGTAAAAGTAAAGAGGGCTTTGAAATGTACTTCAGTAAAAAGTACCCATAACTAGCAGCTGTTTTAAAGAGTACCTGACCTCCCTTTATATGAATAGAACAATAATGTCATTGTTAGCTAATGAATGTTTCCATGCTGAACAACGGCAACATGACAACGTTTTCATTGGTCCCTCTTCTTTAGAGAAGACCAGGAAATGATGGATACACGGATCGTGTTCAAATCAATAGGCACGCAATGACTCTAAATAATAATGATCACGCCACCAAACACACATTCAAACTAAAGGAACCAGCCTGTTTGGAAAATGAGAGAAGTAGAAAGTACAGGTATTTGGGTTCAACATGTAAGAAGTAGAAAGTACAGGTATTTGGGTTCAACATGTAAGAAGTAGAAAGTACAGGTATTTGTGTTCAAAGTGTAAGAAGTAGAAAGTACAGGTATTTGGGTTCAACATGTAAGAAGTAGAAAGTACAGGTATTTGGGTTCAACATGTAAGAAGTAGAAAGTACAGGTATTTGTGTTCAAAGTGTAAGAAGTAGAAAGTACAGGTATTTGTGTTCAAAATGTAAGAAGTAGAAAGTACAGGTATTTGGGTTCAACATGTAAGAAGTAGAAAGTACAGGTATTTGGGTTCAACATGTAAGAAGTAGAAAGTACAGGTATTTGTGTTCAAAGTGTAAGAAGTAGAAAGTACAGGTATTTGTGTTCAAAATGTAAGAAGTAGAAAGTACAGGTATTTGGGTTCAACATGTAAGAAGTAGAAAGTACAGGTATTTGGGTTCAACATGTAAGAAGTAGAAAGTACAGGTATTTGTGTTCAAAGTGTAAGAAGTAGAAAGTACAGGTATTTGGGTTCAACATGTAAGAAGTAGAAAGTACAGGTATTTGTGTTCAACATGTAAGAAGTAGAAAGTACAGGTATTTGTGTTCAAAGTGTAAGAAGTAGAAAGTACAGGTATTTGGGTTCAACATGTAAGAAGTAGAAAGTACAGGTATTTGTGTTCAACATGTAAGAAGTAGAAAGTACAGGTATTTGTGTTCAAAGTGTAAGAAGTAGAAAGTTCAGGTATTTGTGTTCAAAATGTAAGAAGTAAAAGTAAAAAGTCGTCAGAAAAATAAGTAGTGGAGTAAAGTACTGATACCAGAAAAATGTACTTAAGTACAGTAACGAAGTATTTGTACTCCACTACTTCCCACCTCTGTGTGTGTTTCTGTCTCACCTCCTCAGGATCGATGAGTTTGAACTCCATGTTTCTCCCCGTCCAGACGATCAGGTGAGCGTGGGCCGGGTTGTCGAGCAGAGTCAAGAGAAACTGCCAGAGCTGCAAAGAGCCGCGGCGCTGGTACGGCAAACTCTCCTGCTTCACTTTAACTGAGACAAAAGTAAGGTACGTTTATTTATAAAAGCACCTTTCAACACAAGGCAATTCAAAGTGCTTTACAAAAATGAAAGACATTAACAAACATATTATAAAATGGCATTTAAAAACACAAAGATAATAAAACATGAATAACAAAGGTACATGAATTAAAGTGACAGTGCAGTGTGAGATACACACATCTGAAATGTCTACTTTCTTTTTTAGTGTTTCATGCTAAACGAACCCCCCTTTGGAAAATTCCAATCTGCAACCCAATATTCAGAAAATTCAACGGATCCTGGTCATATTTGTGTAGCATATCAAATGAATTTGCCCCCAGACATCCATGTGGCTTGCTAGTTTTGGACCCTATCTGTAGTCAAAAGGTCACCACTTAAGGTCCTTTCAGTATTTCTACTTTAACCCCAATACGTAGGGGACGTTAATGGCGCATTTCCACTGCAGGGCCTCGCACGGCTTAGTATGGTATAGTTAGTCCTTGGTAGGCCAGGCTCACTTTATGCTGCGTTTCCATTACAGTTTAGGAACTGGGGCAGTAACTATAGTAACGCAGTGTAGGCGGAGCCGTGACGTCATCTTCAATGCGAAACACAAAACCAACACAGCCGTTAGCTGTTAGCACTCAGAGCTCACAGCTCCTCATATCTGTTCAGAAACTAGACAAAAGTTAAACAAGTACAAACCACAGACTGCCTGTGTCATGGTGAATACAGTCGCTGGTTTATTTATGTCTGTAGGCCGTTGTTGTGAGTGTGGACGGTCGGAGCATATACTGCGTTAGCTTAGCCAATCTCCATTTAGAAAACACACATTTTAAAAGGTTTTTCGCCTGCCGTCTGTCTGCAAACTTGTCAAAGCATTAATTCATGGTTCTTACTAACCGGTATCAGTATGTTGTTACTTCGGCATCATTTTGAAACGTGTATTACAATTAAATCACGGTCAAATATGTCCATCTTGTTGTAGTTGCCAGCTTTTCTCTCACTAGTTTAGCAGACTCAGCCCGGTTGTTGGCCCGGAAAGAACCTCGATTTTGGAGAGCCAGAAAAAGTACCCGCTAGCTGGAACTACGCCTAGTGGAAACGCAACCAAAAACGGGCTCCGTGCTGTAGTGGAAATGCGCCATAAGACACACAATGAGTACAACTGACACCATTCTTAGTATGGAACAACAAGGTCTATTCCTCGTGGATTATCAGAAGCAGCAGTTAGAAATATGCTTCTTTAAGTCTGTGTTACCTTCCAGTCTGTCCGGCACCACACAGGTGTCGTCATAGTACAGGTGTTGCTCTCTGTCAGCACCAAACCCTGTGGGGCGAAACATACATTTTCATTATGAAAGGTTACATTTATTCCAAGGAGAACAACAAAAAACTGATTTAAAAGTGAGAACAAACAAACACACAACTCACCAACATTGTTATTCTGGTACAAGACTGGAGACTTCCCAAACGACGACTGGCAGGGCTGAACCTCTGGAAGAAACAAAGCAGGAGTTGGAAGTCTTTTAGGTCTCACTTCTAAAACAATATGCCATTTTAAATGCACAACGAATCACACAATTAAATCAATAATAAAATCGGGAGTTTGAGAAAGGGTTTGATTCAGAAAAGCAGCATTGTTTCAGTGCACGTAGCAGAGGAACTCACCTGAGTCGAAGGCGTAGTCTCGCGGCTCCTGCTTGATGGTCACGTGATTGAAAGAGTTCTGGGGTCCCGGCTCTGGGTACCGAGGGTCCAGCAGTTCCTGTTTGAACACTCTCTGAGGGACCAGAGGCTCTGAGAGGTGGCGCTGGTACAGAGGGCGGCCATCACGGCTCGAGGGTTGGTACGGAGAGTTCAGAGGAGTCTCAGGAGGGAGGAAGGACAAGCAGGGCTCCGACAGCTGCCTCTGAAACCTGCAGAGAGGACGAGGAGAGGAGGGTCTCAACTCACTTTGTTTCAGAAGTCAATGGAGGGGCGTGTTTTTTTTAAATGTTTATGTATGCATTTCAACAAGGACCAATCATACAAATACATTAATCTCAGAAAAGAGAAGAGATGAATTATGCCAGATTTTAGCTAATAGCTAATTTCCATCTGCAGTCCTTAAATCTGTTGTTAAACAATAGCAAAACTATATCAAAATACTAATAAAGTGTGTCAAATCAAAGGTATTAATAGTACGATTTTAGCATATTGCAGTGCATATTTTAGAAAGATGTGAGCATATGAGTAAAGAAATGAATGACGCTAGTTGTGTGAGTTTGTAAAGAGATGTTTTTTTGCTAATTGTGGCCCCTATTTACTTATTTCATCAAAATTGTTCTCTATTTTCTCACAACTTTCCCAACAAGAGCGTTGAAAAGTCCAAATGTACTGGAAAAAGATACGTGTAAACATTTACAAAATTCACCACATTGTTTAAACTACATCAGACCTCAATAGAAGCTTCAAATGTACCAAATAAATACATTTTAAATCATATCAAAGTTGAACTTCCAACCCACCTCTGTTCTGTGCTGAAAGACGCAGGGGGGCAGCTGGTGGGGGGGCGGGGCAGAGCAAACTGCTGGCTCTGATTGGCCTGAGGGCCTCTGCTGGAGATCTGGGGGCCCGGAGGGTGGAGCTGCCTCTGAACAGGTGGAGGTCCTGAAGGATGAGAGGGGGCTGGAGGAAGGGATTTGAGCCCTGCTGGCTTATTGTCACAGGCACTGAGGAAACAGGAAGTAGCTGTAAGCACACAGGGCACGTTTCATTTTGATAATATCAGCCATGAGATATCTCCCCCCTGCCCCCACTGGACTTTAACACCCCCCACCCACACACACACACACACACACAAATCCAGCACCAGATACGCTGCTATGGACAGTCTTGCACTAATGTACATTCTCAAAGATATTGAAGTGACTGTTATTTTGTATATATTGATTGTTGTGCTTTTATTTAGGTCTTAATGTGTGCATATGTATGAATGTGTCTTTGATTGTGTATATATATATATATATATATATATATATATATATACATATACATATATAGTTGACTTGACTTTGAGAGGATTGGTGTTGTACCTGTAGCTGTAAAGGCACATGTCAGCGTGAGGCGTTCTGCAGGGAGACGGGCTGTGCTCTCGCTTCACCTTGCTCAGAGGAGGTCCATGAAACATCACTGAAAACACACATGGTTTTAAAATTAAAATCAATGTTCAGAGACCCTTTGGTTTCAAGCACTGCGGCTCAAATGTTAGTGTGAAACCAGAGGAAAGAAAGCCTCCTATATGAATCAGAATTGTTTATTCAGCCCTGGGAGAAATTGGGTTTAATGACAGCTACTTACTTTAGAATACAGTAGTATAAAATATGTATAAATCTCAAATGTTAAAGTAAAAATGTGTTATAAAAATATATAATACATTTAATAATGATACCAGATTGTTGCTTATAATGCGCACAGTACACCCCATCTCAGTTTTCCAGGACTCTTCACCATGTTTCCACGAATAATCAATCTGTCAGATTTATTGTCCGCCCGGGAGTCGCAGTAATAAATACAGCGCTACGTGTTTGGCAGCTGCACTAAATGTTTCATTCCCGCATACTGAGCTCTTATCTGTAACATCTTTATTTTTAAAAAGGTACAAGTGGAGCCATTTCCTGCACCATGTGACCACCATCATGTACCTGGCACATGATCCACTGATGTTCTGTCTGAGGGTCAAACACTGAGCTGCCAGGGAACACTGATAGTAGGAATAATTAACTCCTGCTGCAGACAAATCAGTGCACTAATGAGGTATTTGTATTCAGTATTTAAATGCCATGCAACTTACTTGTACTACGATATAAGGGGGATATTTATCTGACCGTTGTAGTTACAGATTCCTATTAAGTGCTAAAACATCTGATCTGCTTAAAATAGGATTGATTGTATGATCTGACACAACCAATAAATCCAACATAAAAATACGCCTTACATGTTTTTAGCAGAATGGCATAATGGTTATTCTGCTATTTAAAGTCATATTTAAGTACTTTCTTTGGATAAGATTTCTATACATTTCACGATTTTTGTACGAGAGGAGGAGATACTCACACTTATTGGACTGGAAGTCTGGGACAAACTGCTCGTCATCGGGAACCTGAGCTGTAAGAGAGGGAGTGTTAAAGGACTCTTCTCGTCAGGTGAATATGAGAAACCAGTAAAAGAGACAAACTATTCTTTGCAAGACATAACTAAATACAACTAACTTTGAACTTCTTAAAAGTAATGTATAAATATGCACACATGAGGCTTAATCTAATGCTAACTTTTGGAGAATACATGAGAATTCTGCAGAGGTAAATAGACAAAGTTAGTCAAATAAACGTCTCTGCCTGTAGTGTCTTGCCTTTAAAATACCTATTGAACACTGCTTTAATCAGAGACGTTCATACAGTTTTTGATGGAGAAGTTGTGTGTTTTGTGTCATGATTCTTGCAGCTCTCACCTTCTGCGATCCATATTTCCTGGAGCTGGATCAGGTCTTGAAAGAGCTCTGAAAGTCAGTTATAAGCCAAAATGAATATTGACGTTTCCAAAGTGACAACAAGTTTCCGAATCTCTCTCTCTCTCTCGTACTGTGTTGTGTAACCACTGACGCAGTAAACACTTTGACATGTGGACATGATGAGCCCACCTTCTGTGTCCTGAGCCAGCTCTGTGTCCATGAACTTCCTCTTCCTGTCACTGAGACATCTCTCTGCTCCTTCTACGGGACATTTCTACATTAAAAGAAAAAAAGGAAAACTGTTTAGTGAACATAAATCAAAAAGTTAAACATCAGAAAAGTGAAGCAGAGGAGGATAACTCACACTCTCAGGGACCACAAAGGGGACCTGCTGGTCGTAAAAGCCGTCCATGTTGCAGGAGTCTTCACCCTGGAACAATAAGGGAATGGGAGGAGACATTTTAAGGCATAATTAGCATGATCATGGGAGGTGTGTGGCGCAGTGGGTTGGTGTTGGGATCAGGGGGTCACAGGTTCAAACCCCACTGCAGTCAGCATGTCGTTGTGTCCCTGAGACACTTCACCCCAAATTGCTCCTGTGGGGACTGTCCACAGTATTGAGTATGTAAGTCACTTTGGATAAAAGCGTCTAACAAGTGACATGTAATGTAATGTAATGTTCTACCAATGTTTCTCTCCATGCACCTCTTTACATCCTGGCCCCACAGCAGCAGGATTTACAGTGGCTATAAAAGCCTTGTCGTCATCACAGCGTTATGCAACGTCCTGTATGTTAAATCATGTAGACGCGCCGCAGGAGGAAATACACTTCAAACATGTTTGAGTAGTGATGCTGGTTTTAAGGGGATAAACAGAAAGCAGCTGTATGGTGCAATAAAAATGTGACGCCTTGAACTCTCCTTCTGTCTGTCTGTCTGCACTGTAGTGACCTTACCATGTTTTTACAAAGTGGTATCGCTGAATATGTGGTTTGAGTAAATGCCTTCTTTACGTCACAAAAAGGAATGATACAAGCATCAACAAAAGCATGAGAAATAGGTTTTTTTTAGTGGTTAAAATGACATAATATACTCAGGTGAAGCTTTCCAGTCTACAGGGGATTAGGTGGAGGCAACAGATCAAATTATAGGAAGATATTTTAAGGAATAGTCCCACATTTTGGGGAAATATCCTGAAGATTACATGACACATGATTTATTTTTCGATTATATACAGGCTTTAAATGATAAATATGACCATTTGTGATGAAAAATTGAATAATTCTCTGACACTTGCCATCTTTTTCTGAGCTTTTAACCATATTTGTACAGTTTTAACAAGTTAATGGAGCTGATTCAAGTGTCAACACATAATGAGGACAGTGAAATCTGGTTTAAAGCTGAAAAAAAGTAGAGCTTTGAGTTGAGATTGATTTCACAAGGTCAGGATACTCTAAGGATTGAAGTTACTAATCTTTCTCTAACCAAATACGAGTTAAAGTTAATAGGAGATAGAAGTTCTCAAACCCTTATCTTTTAACTGTTAAATGGTGATTACCTCATACGGAAGTCACACGTCCTTTGATGAATGCAGAAGGCTTCCGTAGGTAAACAACACCTCGCTACAACTGCTATTGTTCTTATAACAGGGCGTTAGAAACAAGTCAAAAGTTCAATTTGAAGTTTACTGCATTTGCTTTAATGATATCAACACCAATATAAACAACATGACTTTGGTTCGTGGTGTTTTCAACCTGACTTTAAATAAAACGAAAAGTAAAGATTTGTGAATGGAGTTTTTGGAGTGACGCAAGGCATCGTGAGACCTTGTTTTTCTCAATGAAGTGAAACTTGAGCCTTTGCAGAAGAAGGGGGGGGGGGGGGGGGGGGGGGTGGTGGTGGTGATGAAGGGGGGGGCTAACCATTGAGAAAATGTACAACAGAGCACAGAGAAATATTCACGATGCTAACAGACCATAAAGACAGCTGCTGCAGACGGAAATGCCGCCCTGCAGTGCTGACAGATGCGGGAAAAATGGAGGCAATGTTGCCTTTGATTTTCCCAGAAAATGGCGTTCGCCTCTTAGCCCGTATCTGCTCCACACAGCCCGCAATGATGCGAGAAAACAACGCGAAAACAACTCCAAGCATCTAGTTCGTACAACGTGATGTAGTAGTAATAACGCAGCACTCACTTGATATGTGAAGTTTGTCGTCAGTGTTTTAAAAACCAAGATTTCCTCTTCCCTACATCCCCTGAAGCTCTTCGAATAAAAACTCGGCTGTGGATTTTTCTCAATGAAGAGGTCTGATCGCTGGAACTAGACCCCGAGCCCAGCGCTGCGCTCCCATTGGCTAGAACACCACGTCACTCAAAGGGAGAGCCAATCATCTTCAAGGCTGCTCTGACGTCCGTCCCTGTTTTTTTATTTTTATGAATGGCTGCTGTTCATTCATGTCTCCACAGATCTCTTAAAGGGCCAGAGCTGCCATTCCTTAAAAAGCAGGCTAATAAATACATAAAATAATAAAACAAGATTAACTATTTTAGATAACATTACTAAGATTATTTAAGTATTCTTTTAGACTATCTTAATTAGTTTGAGAATAAACCATAAAAGATCTTACCTAATATATTAAATTATACAGTTTTATGATATTAATTTAGCAACATGCAAATCCTATTGTACTTAGTTTACCCAAAATGTATTGGCAAATACGACACAATTGCAATTTAATATGAATATGAATGAATTTCATAATCATTTGGAGTCCAGATTCCTTTACAAAACGAGTACAAACACTATTACTTCTCTAGATAATATGATTTATTATCACAAAGATTGGATTTGAGAGAATCTGAAGGTGCCTTTGTCCTTTTAAAACTGTGCATAACATTAATAATCAGAACTCTTTTGTCGAGGTGAAGAAATACTGTACTTCCTCTCGTTTTGCTGCAGCATGTTTGGTTTAATCCACGTCACACATGACTGCTCCAAAGTGCATTCATCTCAGTGGGTGGCGAAGCAGTCCCTCCACTCTTAATACCGCTTTGATCTCTTTCAACTTCATTACCATTCGCTGCAGAGCGATCACGAAGCACGCCACCTGACTATGTATTAAGTCTGGTATTTAGTGTATTCATAGGCCAGCAGTCAGCATGTTATACAGTGTTTAACAGTCTAAAAAACATTGCTGTGATAGGAATTTATATCCAAAAATGGACAAAGAAGACAGAAGGTTATATTTTGCTGCATTGTGGATTAGTCACAAAACTGTCAATCATCTTAATTCTCTATAGTACGTCTGTCTGCAGCTTATGATTGCACAGGACTACACGAGAACACTTTGAATTCATTCATTAAAACACAATCAACATAGCAAAACACATATTTCTGCAGTATTCTTTAAACTATTTTGCATGATCTCATTGTTGATGTAATTACATTTGCAACTAAAACCCCATTAGTACTTATTTTATTCAAATAAAGAAGTCCAGTTTTTTTACTTTTGACCAATTGACCTCTACGGCTGGACTTTATTTTTTGCAGTGATTGTTTGCGTTCTCAGAAACTGCTTGATCAGCGACGGTGGATGCCAGACTGGATCTGTGTGTGTGTGTGTGTGTGTGTGTGTGTGTGTGTGTGTGTGTGTGTGTGTGTGTGTGTGTGTGTGTGTGTGTGAGATAAAAAGTTCCAGTCCAATCGTCAGCAGCTCTGTAACTGATTTGCAGCGTCTCCTGTTTACACGTCCACTACTCTGTACACACCACATCGCATTTGTATTCATCCGCTCTGACAGATCTCCAGATATGATCGAACATATCCTGTGTCAGGAAATGATGACAAACTGCACTCTTACACCGTCTTATCAGATGTGTCTGCAGGTTGAGATTATGCTGTTTCTTTAACCCTTAATGAAGATCTATTACCTGAATGCTGTCTGTATCTTTTTATGATTGTACTTTCTGACTTCTTTTTTGGCAACAATTATTTATTGCATTTTATAAACGCTGCACGTGGCCATAATGCAAAAGTACAGCACTCCAGTACATGGTGTGAAATGTGAGAAAAGAAATGCAAAACCTCATTCAAATTGAATTTTGAGTATCATAATTGTCATACCCCTCAAAAAAAGACTCTTAAAAAGGAAGTTTATGTTAGCTCTAAACATCTGCTTATTTGTCGAGGTCACACGTTTAATTAAGATAATCAATCCAAACTAAAGATACAAATCTGCTTTTAGATAATTAATGATCAGACTTAATGAGTAGTTTATATATTTATGATTATTTAGATTCTTCATTAAAGCCTATAAAAACCTGTTGTCCTGTGTAATGGAGCTTTAGCACCACTAGATGGCTCTGAAGTCTCCGTCCATCACTGATGTTAAATGACTGTTGGCTGTTTTTAATGCATAACTATTTGTATATTGCAGTAATCCTACTTACAGGTGAACAGAGTAACTAATAGATATCACTATGAAGTGTCTACAGTTCATTAATGTACGCACGTATTACATGTTTAAATATGCAAACAAGACATTATCTGATGCTAACCTTGTTTAATTTAGGAGGACTCCACAGATGTAGACGGACTACATAGTCAAAATAAATTCCTAAATGTGTATTTTGGATTGTTTTCTTATCACAAGTCTGAAATAAGACATGTCATTAAAGCATAAGAGTCTCAAAACATGTATTTTGCCTGTAGTGTCTCGCCTTACGTAAATGATCTCAATGCATCTTCCACCACCAGGCCATCAAGTCTGCAGATGATTGTTAACACGTACTAAATCAAATCAAAATATTAATGTATTAAGTTGTTGTTGTTATTCAGATGGTGTTTTTCCAGAAGCTGTGCAGCACTTTTACAGCAGGTCAGAGGTCAAACTATCTATTGCACAGACGTACTGTAACGTACCTAATGAAGCTCAAACAGACAAAGCCAGTGAAAGTGGCTGCTGTCCAACGCCCTGACTCTGTTTACTCTGTTGTGTCTGTGCTCCATCTAAAGAACAATAGCTGCTGACATACCATCGCTCCCTGCTGGCGAATCCTCGTGAATCATCAGAGGGATTTTGCAGCCGGGTGCTCATCAGCTACTAGAAAAACCAGCAAAAAAATGACATGAAGTCGTGCAAAACAAGTCTAATTTCAGTGAGATATAGAGTACATATACATGTCCTTCAGAGGAAGCATCATGATGCTTTTGGTCACCAATAACTAGGGATGCACAATTTGTATTTTTTTCGTTTGTTAAAGCAACATTATGTAGCTATTTGACCTTCAACGTTGACGCTAAACTGACTTCACATAAGTAGAATACTGCCTTTGTCTTTACATTTGATCGTAACTAATATAATCATAAGAAATGCACGTGTGATCCGACAGCTGTTGATATTCACAACAGCAGTGTATAAGAATTAAACCCACTAAAATACAAATGTCTGTGTATTTCTCCCATTATCATTCACCATCCCAATAAATAAAACCACGCCCATCCATTCGGCTGCAGTTTGACTTCCAATAAGTAGAATATTGACTTCACAGGAGGACGGACCCGATGAGGTCATACTGTTACATCCAGGTGTAAAAAATGTATATTAAAACCCTGACCCTTGCCTTGCCTTCTGCATGTTGTCTATTTGTTCCATTATCATTTACAATCCCAATAACTCAAACCACTCCCATCCATTCTGCTGCTTTGCTTTTATTAAGTTAACTCAGGGGTAATGACTGGAGGAAGGTGGGGAAACAGGAAGTGATTTTAAGACGAGTCGACCACCCGTCTGATGGACCCCACTGCGGGATGAAGCGCCCCCCACTCTGCGGGACGTCTGTACTCGCCCTTCTCCAGCAGGTACTGGCGCCCCCTGTAGTTCGAGTGCTCGTAGAAAACCCAGACGCCGTCCTGCACGTGCGCCGAGTGGAGGTCCCGGTAGCGCCAGCGGTCCATCAGGTTGGGCATGTCGTCGCTGAACTCGATCATCTGGCCGCTGAAGTCCGGACGCTCGTAGATGCGGATCCTGTGCATGCTGGAAGGCTGAAATGATAATGTTTTGTTAGTGAGCTTTGAATAAGATAAGATAAGAACACAAATGTTCTCCAATAAAGTACTATCTTATCTCTACTTTAGTACTTTATTCCCAATTTGGAGAACGTTTGTGTTGCAGCAGCATAAAAGACAAATTAAAAAGACTAGAAATAAACAAAAAAGTAGAAAATATACATGTTGAATTTACAAATGAACAATAAATAAACCCTACAAATGTCAATAAAAACATTAAAACACATACTATAAGCTCAGCTAAATCTATTTCCTCACATGTCTGATGAGTCTGCAGGAGCGGATGGTGTCGTTGAAGCCGTTCCAGCTCTGGTAGTTGGGGTACTCGCCCCTCATGAGCACGTACTGGTATCCCAGGTATTGGGGTCTCTCGTAGAGGACCCAGGCCCCCCCCTCCACCCGGAGGGAGTTGCAGTGCTGGATGTGAGAGTTGAGCTCCGGACAGTCGCCGCTGCACTCATAGTGATGGCCCTTAAAGTTCTTCTCCTCGTAGAAGATGATCTAGAAACCAAATCATTAATGGTGATGAGCAGGACCTGTGAACTCATACTTGTTATTTCTTGTCATTGTAAAAGTTATTTCTTTTTTGGTTGTTTTGTGACGAACATGATGAACATGATGACGATGACCTAATCTTTTATTTTCACAAAAATGTACGCTAGAGGGGGAACAGAAACATTTTTGTTAAGCTTCTTCTTGCCCCTGTTGAACATGACAGAGAATATTTGAGAATGTATTTATTTAGATTTTTTTGTACCTTGAACGTTTTTTTAGGAATCACAACTTAAAGGGGACCTATCATGCAAAATGCACTTGTGTACGTCTTTTCTACATGAATATGTGTCCCCGGTGTTCCAGGGAACTCACCAAGTGTCAGAAAACACAACCCTCTCTATTTTCCTCCATACCCAAATCTCTAAAAAAAGGGGCTGCAACGGATCTGATAAAAACTGATCCAGATTTGAACACTGTCCTGACGTCAGGACGGTGGCGCTACGGCTATTGGGCCAACTCCACCAATCAGGAGGAGACAGCTACGGACATTGCCGTTCGAAAGCGCTGGTGCGCTGTAGTACATATGCCAGGCCTGTAGGTGGTGCTGTTCTCACTGAATCTGCCCAGAGCTAGAAATTGTCAAATTGAGCGAAATGAGGCATGGCTAAAATGCATGATCTGTTTGGTATTTTGAAAAAAAAAAAGTATAAATATGCCTTATATAGGTATGGTCCTACACTATATTATTCAAATATAGCATGATCGGTCCACTTTAACATATCAATCATCATCAATTAAGAGACAGCCATAAATAACAGTCTTAAGAAGAGGTTTTAAGGAAGATGCTGCCCTTTCCTGCCTGAAGTGCATGCATAAAAGCTCTTTAAATGACATACAGCATTTAGCATGTGGTGCATCCTATGATCGTTATTCTCACCTTCCCTGTGCGCTCCATGGTCACCTTCTGTTCCTCCTCACACGATCAAATCAAAGCGCCTCGTTCTCCCTCCATCCCCGATGCTCCACTTTATTATACAGGCGGATGAAATGCACTGGCAGGAAAACGATTGTCATGCAAATGAGCTCTCCATTAACTTTGCCACATTAGCTGAGGCTGCAATTGTTTTAAAATCCATGGCTGCTGTTTGATTTCTCCTGTGGGTGATGCAGAAATTGTGAATGAATGATGTCAATGTGTTTTATCTCAAACTGTATTATTTGATGCACTCAGTCTCATATGACATGATTGATATTGCATATCTCATTGGCAACACCGAATACAAATAAAACTAACAGGCACATTGATTAAATGATACTGTAGACATATCTAATTTAGTTTTTAACGTATACTCACTTACCGCTGCGGCTGAGGTGCGCATGTTGCTGGAGTCATTATCAGATTTTGGGAATCGACCCTGGAAGTATTCGTCCTGGTAGAAACGGATCTGAACCAACAACATATGTGTACAAGGCGGTGAAATGGCTTTTACTTGAGCAAAGTTTTAAGAGACATGCGCATAGTTTTCCCAAATGAGTACAACAAAATTAAGCATGCATCCAACCACAAAGTGCAAAGAGTAGTATGAGGTTTCAATAAATTGACATATCAGATCAATGAGTATACACATTTAGAAGAATATGGCATTAACAGTTTGATGCTTCATTAAATATGTGGTATTAAATATAAAAAATGTCACTTCATTATTAGTTTTCAGCACATGGTTTGCTTTGTGTCACCTGGATAAATCAATCAGTGATTCAGATATTTATCCAGGTTTATCACATTGTTCTGAAGCTGGGAATCCTGTTTTCCTGAACAATGCAAAGTGGAAAGCATTGCAGCAAAGCGAGCTGACAAAACAACGGCACTGCCAGACATCTGGTTTGATATGAAACGAGCTGAGTCAGTGAGTCGAGAATTGTCCTTTTAGACAAAGAAAAAGGTCTTTATATTAAACACGGTGCACTCTTGACCTTGGAAATAGTGGCTCGTTGTTTTAGTTTGATAATAGTTATGATATTGATGTTAAGCGACCTCAGAAAAAGCAAAACATCAGATTAATCCAAACTACTGTTGAGCATTTAGATCTGAATATGGAAAAAGACTAGCGCTAAATAACAATAATACTGTCTTTCAATTCAAAATTATAATTAATTCCCAGAGGATGAATCCAACTAGCCTCTAGATCCAGTCAGGACTATTCTACAATGTATAATAATCCCATTTGTACACAAGAAATATAAGATCTAATAGGCAGATTGTACATTCATGCTCCTCTGAGGATGAACCATTTGGAGTTTGGACCCTTCCTGTTCTTTAATCCGACACTAATCTAGGTAAAGTTGCAGGAATACTGTCGGTAAACCACATGCATGCTGTTCATTTTGGGTGTAAAATGTGTGTTATTGGCTTCAGTGTACTTGTTTTTATTAACTATTTTCCTGTACCCTCTTCAACAGGAGAAACAAGCAGAAAAATAGCAGCTTCATGAAGAAACTGACTGATAAATCTTAGAGATAGTCATAGGATAACTCCACCAATTGTACACGTTAAGTGAATGTATTAGTTTTAGTTTAGAGCTTGAACTTATAACAGGAAGTGTGTGTTACCAACTTTGGCCGTGGAGTTTAAATGTGTGGACAATAATAGTCTGATTTGCATAACGGGAGGATATCTTTTAAAACATAATATCATCTTTGTTCAGTCCATACAAATCCCTGTTTTTGACCCTGTTAGTGTTGAAAATAAGAAAACTAATGACCATTTGTCTAGAGTTATGTGTGAATGCTTGTGTTTTCAGAACATGCTTGCACAAAGTCTACAATCAGAACATTTAGATTTCAGCTTTCTTTATTTCCCCGTACATTCAGAGTTAACAGGAGTCCATGATGCGCCTCATGGAGCTGAACTTGGTCATGTTGCTCATCCCCATCTCTCTGAGGTTCCTGTACTCTCCTGGCCTCAGGTACATCATCTTGCCTCTGTAGTTGGGCTGCTCGAACATCAGCCAGTGGCCCTCCATCACATTGGAGGACTGGCACTCGTTCATGCGGAAACGATCCTGCATGTTGTCACAGTCGTCCATCAGCTCGTGCATCTGGCCTCCGAAGTTCTCCTTCTCGTAGATCTTCATCCTGAAGGGTCCCCTGTGCTGTAGGTGAAGATACGTCAGGATAATCAGGGCATTAAAACATCAGATCCATGTGTTAATGCCCGGATTATCTCAAGAAAACAACCTGTTATTGTGACAAAAACCACTGTGATGGTTGATAAAACACTATTGTAACAACACTGGTTCTGGGCCTAAGTACTGGGCAGACGTTACAATATTAATTTTGTTATTTAATACCATTAATGGCAGCCATGTTCCCATCAAATTCACAGGCTTCCTCAGCAAATGCAACCTGAGTTTAGAATATTTTATGACGGATGTAATTTCAAGTTGCGATTTCCTGCAAGCATTTTGCATTTGCTTAACTTTAACCTGTGCTGTCGACCAATAGAAATGCTGATTTTAAAATTGATGATAGTCCAATATCAGCTCAGCCAATTTACAAAGTTGTTTTTGTTGCAACCACAAAGTAATTGTAATTTGTGGCTTACTTATTGCAGCTGAGTGCGATAAACCTACCGTGGGGATCATGCGACTGGACCTGATGCAGTCGCTCATAGTCATGCCCATCAGGCGCTGGTTGTCAGGGTACTCGCCCCTCCTCACCAGCATCTGTTGGCCCATGAAGTTGGGCTTCTCGTAGACCATGAAGAGGCCACTCTCCACCCTGCAGGAGTTGCACCTGCTCAGGTAGGAGGTGAGCTCAGGGCAGTCGTTGCTGGTCTCATAGGAGCGACCCTGGAAGTTCTTCTCCTCATAGAATGTGATCTGCAAACAACAATGTGGACCTGAGTTTCCAGATAACATCTCTTCCATGTTTCTGTGATGTTTCCAAAGCTTCACTTACCCTGCCCATGTCCATGATTATTGTGTGCTAATTTCAGATGTACTGCTTCAACATCGACCTGTTTCCCTTTTTATACATCGCACGGCCGTAGCATTTCCACATGGCTTGTGCTGAAACCTTTGAGTCATCACTCTATATTGTGGCTCTGCGCAGCACCATAGGGTGGCAGATTTCACTGTATGTCAGATTCTGCAATAGTTATTGTGAATATTGGGTTTATATGTGCTTCTAGAAACGTCAACTATTTATTCATGTGCATTCCTTAAGAGGTGAACAACTATTAAATACAACTACATTTAAAAACGTCATTTGAGGATTGTTTTGCTTCTGTTATGACCTGAATTGACCTCTCGAAACTACATTTAACATACAATAACTATTCAGGTGGGCTGTTAAAAATGAAAGCAAGGCCACGTGAACCTCGTGATGAGTCATGATGTTTCGCACAAAGGTGTGTGAAGTGGTCTGCAGCTGATACTGTATATAAAAGTGGCGCTGGGTTGTCATCATTTGCTAAAACTAAAAGCGTAACCATGGGCAGGGTACATAATATCACATGTTTGTATAATTGGTGCAGTAAAAGTCTATTAAACTCACTAATCTAACTTTTCATGCATGTTTTTTGTTTGCAGATTATTTTCTATGAAGAAAGGAACTTCCAGGGTCGTTCCCATGAGTGCAGCAGCGACTGCACCGACATCCACATGCACCTGAACCGCTGCAACTCCTGCAGGGTGGACAACGGCTGCTTCGTGGTGTACGACCGCCAAAACTACATGGGCAATCAGGTGTTCTTGAAGAGAGGGGAGTACTCCGACTTCCAGCGCATGGGAAGCATGATGGGAATGCAGGGCATGGCTATGATGGATAACATCCGCTCCTGTCGCATGGTCCCCACGGTAAGAAGTTCAAAGATACATTTGAACGGTCCAAAGACATGTTTGGCTAATTTAAAGCTGGCAAACTCCGCCTCCAGTGCAAGAAAGGTAGTTTAGAAAAGCATTGGAATGATATCCCCACGGTAAGAAGTTTGAAGAGAAGTTTGAACCAAATATGAAGATGGCAAACTACTCAAGAAAGGTATTTTAGAAAAGCATTGTATTGATATGCTCTCCTTGTTTTTCTCCAACAGCACAGGGGCCCCTTCAGGATGAGGATCTACGAAAGGGAGAACTACGGAGGCCAGATGCACGAGCTGATTGACGACATTGAGTCTCTGCAGGATCGTTTCCTAATGTCTGACTGCCAGTCCTGCCAAGTGATGGACGGCCACTGGCTGATGTTCGAGCAGCCCAACTTCAGAGGCAAGATGCTGTATGTGAGGCCCGGAGAGTACAGGAGCCTCAGAGACTCTGCAGCAAGCAACATGTCCAGAATGAGCTCCATCAGGCGCATCATGGACATGTGCTGATTGTTGTGTAATTAAAGAAACTGTGGGTGAAGAATAAAAACCATATTTTGAAGTATCTCTCTGCTGTTTTGTAGTTTTACTTTATGTGGAGTCAGACTACATACTTTGCTAGTGATAGATTATGATTCTTGAATAAAGATTTATCTTAAACGCATTTATAAAACATTTCATACCTCTTTGATTCCACACTATAAAGCATTTTTAAATAATGTTAATATTACTATTTATTACATGGTTTAGTTGAATACTCGATTCTGATTGGTCAATTCAGAACACGTGACACGTTGTTAATCCAGTAGTACAGACCGCTGTCAAGCACTTATTGACCGTTGTTAAGGACGCTCACATCTGCACAAATAAGTCTGTTCGATTGAACTGTATACAGTTTGGCCGAAAAGCAAACTGGGACAAGAAAACAGCGGAGAAGTAACGGGGCAGAAACCCTCCTTTTTACGCAACGGTCCAGACATAGACATCAAACGGCAAAACATATTCAGTTGCCAGTTACGTTGGCATAGAGTGGCGAAGTCCCTCCCCTTCCGGTTGAGCCCCATGGGACCTTATTTCGGAAAAGTTATGCATTGAAGTCAATGGAGAGAGAAAGATTATCTTTCGATCCCGTTTGAATTGTGCCACGAATTACACATATGATGTTTGTCAATTTAAAAGATAATTTTGCAAGTAAAAAAAAAAAAAATGTGTCGTAAAACTGTGAAGTAACACATTTGTTTGTGTGAAAGGCTCAATGAACTACATCTCTGGTCAACCACACACGTCACCAAGATGGCCGTCACTACTGTCTTGTCAACAAACGATTGACTATCACCACAATGAAACACGTCCTGAAGAATGTCATGCAAAGCTGCCTGCCTGCCTTCCTTTGATTCTCTCTGAACTGCCTGGTCGTTTTAATGTTTAATGTCAACCATTTGTGCAGATAGCATGAAGTAGAAAAGATCGCAGATGCTAACGTTAGCGTTAGCATTTCTCCCCCGGAATTAAATGGTGTATTATAGAATGATCACACCGGTGACAGTACTATTCAAAGGGTTCACGAAATATGACTACTACTCTTACTGTTTAACATTTTGGGTTACTTAATGTTACTTCATGTTAAGGCTAATAAAAATGACAAGGCTGTAATGCTAACTAACGTGCTAGCTACTAGCTAGGTAGCTAACTTGATCAAGCCACTCCTGGTCGTTTCATCAGACGGGAAGCAAAAGAACGAGCAAGACCCATTGCTGGTATGATAACAACCTGGTACTAAGCACACAGGCATCTTGTTAAAGTTATCTTATCTTAGCCAGCGCCATATAGATAGATTATATCTATATTGCGCTGATCTTAGGTATCTGAATGGTGGAGGAAAACAATTGTGACATCACTTACGCAACTCTGGGATTTGTAGTCTTTCTAGTTACGTATTTTTCATAGTCTTATATTTCAACAGTTTTACGACAAACTGTGACTTTTTTTACATGGAAATGATTTTTTAAGATTGACAAACATCATATGTGTAATTCATGGCAATTCTATAGAGTGGCGAAGTCCCTCCCACTTACTTCCGGGGTATGGGACCTTATTTCGGAAAAATTATGCATTGAAGTCAATGGGGAGAGAAAACTTATCTTTCGATCCCGTTTGAATTGTGCCATGAATTACACATATGATGTTTGTCAATCTTAAAAAATCATTTCCATGTAAAAAAAGTCACAGTTTGTCGTAAAACTGTTGAAATATAAGACTATGAAAAATACGTAACTAGAAAGACTACAAATCCCAGAGTCGCGTAAGTGATGTCACAATTGTTTTCCTCCACCATTCAGATACCTAAAATCAGCGCAATATAGATATAATCTATCTATATGGCGCTGGCTAAGATAAGATAACTTTAACAAGATGCCTGTGTGCTTAGTACCAGGTTGTTATTATACCAGCAATGGGTCTTGCTCGTTCTTTTGCTTCCCGTCTGATGAAACGACCAGGAGTGGCTTGATCAAGTTAGCTACCTAGCTAGTAGCTAGCACGTTAGTTAGCATTACAGCCTTGTCATTTTTATTAGCCTTAACATGAAGTAACATTAAGTAACCCAAAATGTTAAACAGTAAGAGTAGTAGTCATATTTCGTGAACCCTTTGAATAGTACTGTCACCGGTGTGATCATTCTATAATACACCATTTAATTCCGGGGGAGAAATGCTAACGCTAACGTTAGCATCGGCGATCTTTTCTACTTCATGCTATCTGCACAAATGGTTGACATTAAACATTAAAACGACCAGGCAGTTCAGAGAGAATCAAAGGAAGGCAGGCAGGCAGCTTTGCATGACATTCTTCAGGACGTGTTTCATTGTGGTGATAGTCAATCGTTTGTTGACAAGACAGTAGTGACGGCCATCTTGGTGACGTGTGTGGTTGACCAGAGATGTAGTTCATTTAGCGTTTCACACAAACAAATGTGTTACTTCACAGTTTTACGACACATTTTTTTTTTGACTTGCAAAATTATCTTTTAAATTTACAAACATCATATGTGTAATTCGTGGCACAATTCAAACGGGATCGAAAGATAATCTTTCTCTCTCCATTGACTTCAATGCATAACTTTTCCGAAATAAGGTCCCATGGGGCTCAACCGGAAGGGGAGGGACTTCGCCACTCTATTAGGGCAGGGATATCTAGATACTTTCCAAGCTTTGACATAATAAATTGTGCTACTTTTAAAGCAAGCAACGATTTTTTTCAAATCTGTAATCAAAAAGCTCCTCAAAAACGCTATCGAAGCAGTTCCTGCCGTTGCTAAGGAGGATCAAGAAAGAGAAAGTAAAAGAGGGTAAAAGACGGAGCGCTGGACGTCAGATAAATCCCCAGAAGAAGGCAGAGAGGAAGTAAACACTGACGGGCCGTCTCCACGGCAGCGTTAAAAAAATCTTGGAGGTGGGCGTATCTGAAGCTTGGGGATTTTTTTGCGATCAACCAATCACATGAATCTCCCGCCCGCGACATACGAAGCCAAAAAGCCCGAAGTAAACTGGATATAAACTCCCCAAAACAGGCGAAAACATACCACTGTCTCTGCCACCTCCCTCCATGCCTGGCTCCTCCGGTTTATATCCCGGTAGGTCTGGTCATAAAGCACCGGGTGATTGATTCGCTACCGCTAATTTCTCCTCCATTTTTTGGAATATGAGGAAATGATCTGCGGGATATCTCTCCCAGCATACACGCCGTTTAATTGGCTAGAGCTTGAACTGTCAGATTTGCGTACACGGGATTTGATTGGCTGACGCTTCCTCCTCAGCTTCAAAAGTTGAACATTGTTCAACTTTGGATCTTGAAAATCCTGAGAATCTCCGCTCGCCTGCCCACAATGCATTTCGGCGAAAGCGAAAAAAAGTGACGTCACCCCATTCAAAGTGAATGGGCAGAAGCGTTTCAAGATTTTTTAACGCTGCCGTGGAGACGGCCCGTAACAGGAACACGGTATGGGCTCTGCAGTGTTTAGGGACTTGTTAGTGGATCAGAAACTGTGAACAGAGTTGGACAGTGCTGCCATAAAGTTGTGGTTGTCGCAGTTCCAGCCGTGGAACGGAGTTTTTTTTTTTCTTATCGGAAGAAATACGATCATTTTTAAGTCAATAAAATCATTTCAATTAATATTGGGAGTCGAGTCGTTAGTTTGTTTAGTATATGGCCGTGTAATCGCGTCGGGCTCCCTGATGAGCCTGTCGGGTGTTCTTTTCCCCATAATGACTGCCTCGCTGCACATTATCCCTTACGTAGTGCAGTGCCCGGTTCAAACTGGCCTGTTCATAATTGGCCAATAGTTGGACCAATTGCAGCTATTTCAAACCAAGTAAATCACACATGATTCGACAGACATTAGGCCTTAACTTCATTAACATTCAAGTCACACACACACCTCCATTTTAAAGGTTTTAGTGGATAACCTTTTTACCAAAACTCCCAAGAAATGTTCGTCTACTACCGTCATTGCAACGGTTCCTAATTCAGAACATAACATAAATCTATGAGGTTGCAGACGGCAAAGCAACTTAAGGTAACGTAAAACACCTAAAAGGGTCCTTTATAGGGCTGGAGTTTGGTCTGTCCCTTCTGGGCTACTGTAGAAACATGGTGAAAGATTAATTGTTCCCAATCTAAGCCAATAGAAAACACGATTCTTAGTTTTAAGTATTAAACGGGCCCCGGGGCTGAATTATTAAAGACCGTGATACCGTTAAGCTCCGACGTTATCGGTCTTTTTATCGGTACTGGAGACATCTAAAAAATATGTCATGTGTATTATTGCTACACAAACATTATATTGCAGTTTTAGTGTCGCCAACTCCGTTTCTAATACGCAAAAAGACTGCAAAATGCGTCATTTTTTGTATTTTCGATCTCTCCAATCCAGACGAGAGATCTCTCTCCCCCGCCTGTGTGCGAGGGGGCGGGGCAGTTTACACACACGCAGCTGCTACATGCAGCAACACACACACACGGAGGCGATGGCGGAGAGAACGCGCTCCGAGGTGTGGTTAAACTTTACCCGTCTCGCTCGTTGCCTAAAGTGCAATAAGAGTTTAGCATGTCAGGGCGGTAACACGAGCAATTTGTCTAAACATCTTGCAAAAGTGCACCACGTTCAGACGGAGAAATGCACCGGGTTCGACTGTCTCTCTAGTAGCTCTGTAGCCCCATCCACGAGTAACGTTTCCACGTCAGGTATATTATGTATGCTAGCAGCAACACACGGAGCTAACTCAATGATTCAAACATGGGTTAATGATTAGAGGGAACTGAGTTATTTAGTTTGTTAAAGTTTCAGCCATTCTGTTCACAGTTCTGTCATCAGATTATTTAATATGATTTGTTAAAACGTTGTTGTTTCTGTTGATGTGAAATATTATGTATTTCATTTAAATAAAAAGCAATGTTAGTTTTGTTCACAATTTGTTAATTTTCATTTAATTGTTTATTTGAATAGGGACAATGCACATTAATGAACACTTTAGACAAATAATGCTTCAAGTGTAAATATGCCGGATTTTAGCTTTGAGCTAATTTCCATCCGTAGTCCCTGACATACAACATATAGTTAGTTTACCTAATTTTTCTCTCCAAAAGAACCGATAAGAGTACCGTTAAAAGACCGGACCGATAAGCGGTATCGATAAAAGTAGTAGTACCGTTAAAACCTTAACGATACCCATCCCTAGTTTTAAGTGATTAATAAAAACATTGTTATGAAAATGATATTCCATTCCTGTCAATAAACCCCCCTAAATCCTACACACTGGTTATTTTAATTCAATAGGTTTTATGCCCATGAGAACATGAATGCATGTTATATTTTGCGTTATAATGTGTACAAGCTGACAACACAGTGTCCTAAATTGGATGCTTTCTACCTCCGAGAAGCATGAATGTAATCAGATAGTATTGTAGTGTTCTATAAATAACATTTTGCACAAGAGGGCATTGTGGCTGAAAGATAAGCAGAACCACAACATGCTGGGATTCCTATTTTAGGCACCAATTACATGTGCAAAGATGTGTCACAAGTAAAAATCATAGCAGCAAATGGCAGCAAAAATCCTCAGTGTATTGAACTAAGCTGTGTTTCATGAATTCTACTTTTGTTAAGGAAGAACTGTGTTTTTTCTGCTTCAAAAGTGATGTATTTGAGCTTAAGTCAATGCATTTAGTATAATTTTACCTCGTTTATCCACTATATACTGTTCCCATATAATGAAACTGAAAACAAAAGTAATGCAATAACTAGAGTTTGCTTTGTGACTGTGAAATCTGCACCACTACTGTTTAATCTGTGCACAGCCACCATGTATAATACAGTAGGGACTTCCATGCCGATGAGCTGACTCGTGGTATTTTGTACAATTGAGGGGCAGATTCTTTTGATGTCACATGATGCATAAAAGCCAGCGCGCCAGTGGGTAGAACAACAGAAATCAAAAACCGAGACCATGAGCGGAAAGGTAATGAAGGGAGCAGAACAGCCTGATCTATTTACTGCTAAATATTATACTGTATATACCTGGCTGCTATATCTTCAGAACTGTTACAGGATGTTTGTATTTGTGTAACTTTAATATTATTTTATGCATGCTTCTTAGTTAACATTAAGCTGCTTTTGGCTCTCTTCTGCTGTAACAATGTCCCCTCTGTGGGACTAATAATGATTCTATGTAGTAAAATGCTGTAGTTTCTGCTATGCAACTGTGTGTAAACTGAACAGCACTCACTTTTAGCTCTCAGAGGTAATTACCCAATGTGTGTCTCTCTCTCTCTAGATTGTCTTTTTCGAGGGGAGGAACTTCCAGGGTCGCTCCTATGAGTGCATGAGCGACTGCTCTGAGATCTCCTCTCATCTGGGCCGATGCAGCTCCTGCAGGGTGGAGAGCGGGACGTTCATGGTCTACGATCAGCCCAACTTCACGGGCCAGCAGCACCTCCTCACCAGGGGAGAGTACCCCGAGTACCAGAACACCATCGGCTTCAATGAGTGCATTCAGTCCTGCCGCATGGTCCCTGAGGTAAAGCATGAGCACAATATTACTAACAAAGAACAGACAGAGGCAATCAGTAATGGAAAGAGACATGAGAAATATGTTTGGTGGTAGTCTTACCCAGAAGCAGATGAAGATATCCGGATCAAATTCAATTCTGTGCCTCCAGTAGTGATATTTCCACGATGGGTAAATAGGGAAGGGACTGCTAGCTTTATCGGGTTGGGTTTTTTGTCACATTTGCTCAAAAGCTAGCTGGCTATCTAGCAATGCCTATAAGAGTTTTTAGAACAAATGCTGCAATTTAATTCATACAGTTTTCAAAAGGATGACTTTTAATAGAATTAAACTGATTGTTAGCTTCCTATTTAGCGTTGCAACCAATTAGATTTCTAAATTAAGCTTGTTCCAATTTCCTATCTAGACCTGTAGCGTTTTCATACCTATCTTATTAGATTTACGCATATATTTCATTTGACATTGTGTACTTTAACAGCACAAGGGACCCTTCAAGATGAGGATCTACGAGAGGGCGAACTTCGAAGGGCAGATGCAGGAGCTGACCGACGACTGCGACTCCATCCAGGATCAATACCAGATGTCGGACATGCAGTCCTGCAACGTGATGGAGGGATACTGGCTGATGTTCGAGCAGCCAAACTTCGAGGGCAGGATGTCTTATCTGAAGCCGGGAAAGTACAGGAACCTCAAAGAGATGAACAGCGAAGACATGAAGTTTAACTCCATCAGACGCATCACAGAATCTGTCTAATCACTTCTAGCTAATAGGTTTTGCAGATGCTTTGTTTTATTAACATTAACAAGATGTGAGAGGCGATAAAAAAAATATGAAGAAGCCTTGTTTTTATCCTGAAACTGTGATTTGTGCATTGTTTGCATGTAGTTCCAGTTGTACTGTGCAATCCAGCCACGATGAATTTACCTCTATACCTGTGTGATGGGCACAATAAAATGATTTGCCGCATAATTATGGTGGATTTCTTTCTGAACACAACTTCCATAAGTCACTGTTTGGCTCAGGCAGTGGTATTTAGTTTCAGGAATAGATGTACTTACATTTAATGTCTGAGTCAAACAGGCATTTTAATTTACTTAAACAAGAATACAAATGCAAACTTGGGGTGAAAGCTGGTTCAGCAAATTTACAGCAACCCAAATGTGAATCTGTAAAGACTTCATATTGGGTGCATATGCAATCTATCTAAATCAATGATCTGATTAGGTGGGGGATGTGTTTGCAAGGCGACAACTCCAAACAAATATGTCTGATATTTCTGTTAAAGCCAGCATAGATTTGGTCAAATTCTCTATTTCCCTTTATTTAATAGAAGATTGAATGAACCCTAATATACTACAACAAACCAATCACATACAAAGAAAGTGATTCAAACAAGGTTGTTAAAAAGTAATTGATTGATGAATATACAGGGTATAAGCAGGAATCCTGAAGTCACATGTAATTCCTTTCAAGACCTTTTTTAAGACCCTTTCCATACATTTTAAGACCTCATCGCCACTTGGAGTTCTAACCGGTTACATTGGCGACACACTTTACCTCACATTGACTATATACAGTATTGATTGTCCTTCTTCCTTATCTTCCAACCATTTGGACGCAGACTTGCATTTCCCCATAACCATGTTGTTTAACAACCGGCGTAAACGGACCGATCAAGCAGTGAGCGTGCGATGTCCTGTTCAGATGACGTCAAATCCAACGGGATGCCATAAATAAACTACACAGAATCACACTACACACCTACGCAATGATTACATTCAGGCAGACTGTAGAATACAACCTCTTTGGACAATTTATATACTTATTGAAAAACAAGCTACAAAATGTAATACCTTGGAAAATGCCGTTTAATACTTTTTAATAGCCTTCATTTTCGCTAAATTGATTTATCAACTTTTAATACTTTTTAAGACCCTGCGGACACCCTGATATAGCAGTGAGTAATAGTTTAAGGTTTAATATAAAAAGGGAGATTTTATGGCTACTTTAGAGAGTAGATGGATGACAGGAGCACACACATATACAATAGATATTTTTTGCAAAGGACATATAGGTTTTCTAATAAATATTTCTAGTTTTAAGTTGATTTTAAGACTTGATAATCATAAGAAGGCAGTTGCAAAGCGTACAATTAGAGTGAATATTGCACCGTTATCAGACGTTTTTTTCATAGACTGTATATAATAATAGAAAATATATAAAGAGGGGTCTAAAAATACAGTATATGGTCTACTATATGTGCATTTCTTTTGCATATGTTAAGCCATTTATTGTACATAAGATGCACCTAAATGCAAAATCATGATTAATGCGTTTGCTTTTCGTTGAGCAGCTCTACTGTACGAAACTGATCATGCATTCTATAATGAAACGGTATTCCAGGGCTTAGTCTAGAGAGCGTATCACACTATGGGGGGGATTAAATGCAAACAAAACTGAAAATGCTGGTGACTCTGTGCAGTATGTTGTTGTGCTGACATGCGGAGAATAACAGTCATCATATAAAAGGCTGCTGCTGTGTTCAGAGGAAAGGCAGAAGCTGAGTTCACTTCACAGGGTGTTGAATATTCGATCCTGCATCTACGTTATACAAAAAAATACATTTCAGTCAAGTTGATCGTTAACATGTTTAAAGCCTCCATACAGTGCCATGAGCATATGCATTAACAGCTTTCAATTGTATAGTACGTGTTATAATGTACAAAGATAAATATATATGTAAATATGGAGATGCATAAATAAACTTTGTACAAACAAATATCAGCAGTGCCTTGTGTACATTTTTATATGTAATATGTAATAACAATTCATTCCGATCAATACATGTATGTTTAAAGATTTAATTTGTAGTGTTTTCTTCATCTAATTCACTCCATATACCATCTACCAGAGCGATTTCAAAGCAACTGCTCAAAACAGCGGATTTGCTTAGTCAAACACACACAAAACAAAAAATAGTTCTGTGATAAAGAGCTGACGGCCGCACTCATTGTTCTGAATCACAATGACACAGGTCATCCGTGGGTTATAAAGGCAGCACGGAGCACACATCTGCCGCTTCAGTGTGACGAAGGTGAGCCGACACAATGGGCAAGGTAAGTCTCTGCCGTGTGCCGCATATCTGCACGGATTATTCATCCCAAATCGGTGAGTAATCTTTCAAGTGGTATAGTATGCACACTTCTCTTAATTTGAGGCATCTACATTTCAGATTATATTCTACGAGGACAGGAATTTCAAGGGTCGCTCCTACGAGTGCGGCAGCGAAAGCTCGGACCTGCATTCCCACTTCAGCCGCTGCAACTCCATCAAAGTGGACGGCGGTGATTGGATGGTTTTTGAAAGACCCGGATATATGGGGTACCAGTACTTCTTAAAGAAGGGCGAGTACCCCGACTACCAGCAATGGATGGGGTTCAACGACTGTGTGCGATCCTGCCGTTTGATCCCTACGGTATATTATTATAATTATTTTTATTGTACAATATCGTTTTATGCTGCTGCAACACAAACATTTCCCAACTTGGGATCAACAAAGTACTTCTTATCTTATCCCTTTCACTTTACAATAAGTCTTAACTGATCTAGAGGGTAATACAGTATTTTCTTGCAGTCCCAAAGCTCTCACAGGATAATGATATACGAGCGGCCAGAGTTAGGAGGAGAGACGATGGAGCTGACTGACGACTGCCCGTCGCTGAACGAACGATTCAACCACAACGACGTCTACTCCTGCAACGTGAGGGACGGTTACTGGATCTTCTACGAACACCCCAACTACAGGGGACGCCAATACCTGATGAACCCCGGGGAATACAGGAGGTTTAATGAGTGGGGAAGCACCACGTCTCGGGTGGGATCCATCAGACGTATCGCTGTGTGATGTCCAGAAACTGTTTATGTGAAGTACTGTCAATAAATCTATACAATAACCAATGTTCTGTCAACTGGTGCTTTTGTTTTCTTTGGGCTGTTTGAGTTGAGAGTGGTGAGGGGATTTAAAATGTTACTTGGGCGTCTTTGATGCACATGTTTTGGAGTGGACAAAGCAAATATAAGCTAGCTATAAGCTACTTAAAGGAAAGAGACAAGAATACAAGCTCAAATACGTTTTCATGTCTATATACAGAGACACACACACAGTTTCAGCCCAGCATGTTTATTGAGAACAGAGACAGGAAAAAGGTTTGAAAAGACTATTAATTAAAGTCTGTGATTCGCCTGAGAGAGCCGATCCTTGAACTGGCGCCTCCCCAGTCCAAGGATCGACGGTACTCTCCAGGTCTCAGGTAGTAGGGCCGGCCCTTGTAGTTCGGCTGGTCGTACAGCAGCCAATGGCCGTCCACCACGTTGCACGAGTTGACGTCAGACATACGCAGGCGGTCCTGGACGCTGGGGCAATCATCGCTCACCTCATGCATTTGGCCGCTCATGTCTGGACGCTCATACAATCTTATTTTGTAGGAACCACGGTGCTGCAGGAACAAGAATATGTATGAGGCAATGCTGTTCACACCTAATTATATTGTATTCCTGATTTGAGGGACTGTTTTTAACATCTTCCAGGAAAACATACCATTAGCTACTCTTTCATTTTCCTTAAGTTGTACATTGTGCTAAGCCTTAACATAAAGGTAGCAGTAAGATTAAATGATGTATCATTGCCTTTTCAGTTTTCCCCTTTACTTGACCTGATACCTCTTTAATATCGTCTGAGGCTTACCATGGGAATCATGCGGCAGGAGCGGATGCAGTCATTGATGCCAATCAAGCGCTGGTTGTCGGAGTACTCCCCCCTGCGGAGGAAGGACTGGTGGCCCAGGTATTGAGGTCTCTCGTACACCATGAAACAGCCGCTCTCCACCCTGACGGAGTTGCAGCGGTTGAAGTAAGGGTGCAGGTCGGCACAGTCGCTCATGCACTCATGGTGCCGACCCTGGAAATTCCTGTCCTCGTAGAAAATGATCTGCGAACGTTCGTCGAAAAACTGATTAATTATGGACGCTCGATGTTAAAAAATATTTTGAAGATTACTATATTCACAGTAAGAACACATAACAAACTCACCTTTCCCATTGTTTCGTCGCTGGGGGCCAGACTGGCGCTCAATAGACGCTCTCCGCGCCGCTGTCCTTTTATATAAAGTGGCAGTTTGATGGCACAGCATAAAGTATTGTCATCCAAATAGGTTTTATAACGCAAATTAGGTTATGTATAGCGACGCATTGTTGTTCAGTTTTCACATGTTCATCAAAACACCGCAGTGACCCAGGGGCGACCGTGCACAGTCTCAGCAAAACAACAACCGTTATTTGTGTCCCCTTCAGTCAAAACAAGTTTGTAATGTTATATGTCGGACACAGAACGAGCCTTTGTGGGTCATGAAGCTCAGCCCAAAACATCATGTACGAGTATAATCAATGTACACACAAATAAAGGAAGGGCTGTAGGTTTGTAATATAGTTTTTCCAAATAGTTACCCCACAAAACCAATAAAATTAATGACAGTTTCTTCAGCTAGAGACACCTGATGGCTGGTAATGCTTTGGTGCCCCTTATCTATGTTCTCTGCAATCAAGTGATTAAATCAATTATAAAGGGGTGTTTTCTGAAGAGATGCTATCAAGTTGCATCATGGGAAATGTAGTATTCAGTATTCCTGTTGTGTAACCCATATGATTCAGCATATCTTGGCCCCTGCTGGTTATATTTGGACAATTATCCTTTCAAATCTGTCTCTTCTGGATCCCCCATCTTATGAAAATTGTAAAAATCAATCCTTTCAAAATAATTAATTAACCACATGTCTATTTTATATTTCTGATTTGCACGTTTAAGCTCATTTCACGACAAATCAATGACTAGGCTGTTGCACGTGGACCATTTATTTTCAGCTTGAAACACACTGAACTATTTGTTGTCAACGAATAAACATTTTTAACATGAGGATATTCTCTGGTTAACATTCCACTTCTAAAAAACTAAAAGCAATGTCACAAAACGCACGCAATAAAATGTATTTCAACATTTTAACTTGAATTAAAACACTTTATAACCCAAGAAAATAAATTAATAAGCACATTTGAGATGAGTTCCTGAGTTTGTCTTATCATCAATTAACGATAAAACGTTTGAGCAAACAAAGACTGGCTGCAGTTAAACGGGATTATACTGTAGGCACTTCGAGGTTATTAAATTAGGTAAATACTTTCCTTTTATCTAAATAATACTCTATACATTTCTCAATATATCAAATTATGAATCTTGATCAACTTTGCTACGTACCCAGAAAAACACTTTCATGGGCAAATTGTCCTGGCACTAGTAATCAGTCTGTTTTATATAAAATAGGTTTGTCTATATGGTAATTAAACCAATTTGAGATGGTTTCAAAGACCACAGTCCAGTGTCGATACTGCAGAGACATTTCCCTCACATCATCATACTAAAAACTGTAGAAAAAAGGTTTTAAATGGATCAGAGCGTGCGTGCGTGCGTGCGTGTCAGTGTCAGTGTTTAGCCTACATTACAGGTTGGAGAGTGTGAAGCATGGAGGCGTCCGGCGGCTCTGCTGCTCCTGGCAGGAAGTGGAAGTCCTTGTGGTGGAGGTAACGGAGGTACTGTGGCTGTGGTTGCTGAACAAAGGGCGTTATTCCTTCACTTCTGGGAGGAAACAGCGGGGAAACCTGCGGCACCGTGGGCTCTTCAAACTGCAGACATGAGAATAAGGCAAAGTGAGCTCCAGATACTGTTTCCTCCATCCAATATGTCTGTTCAGTAAAGTGGAGCACGAACAGGCTGCACTTACCGGTTGCTCGTGATAGGCCGGTTGCTCGTGATGGACTGGTTGCTGGTGATAGGCCGGTTGCTCGTGATGGACTGGTTCCTGGTGATAGACCGGTTGCTCGTGATGGACTGGTTGCTGGTGATAGACTGGTTGCTCGTGATAGACTGGTTGCTCGTGATGGACTGGTTGCTGGTGATAGACTGGTTGCTCGTGATAGACTGGTTGCTCGTGATAGACTGGTTGCTGGTGATAGACTGGTTGCTCGTGATAGACTGGTTGCTCGTGATAGACTGGTTGCTGGTGATAGACTGGTTGCTCGTGATAGACCGGTTGCTCGTGATAGACCGGTTGCTCGTGATAGACCGGTTGCTCGTGATAGACCGGTTGCTCGTGATAGACCGGTTGCTCGTGATAGACCGGTTGCTCGTGATAGACCGGTTGCTCGTGATAGACCGGTTGCTGGTAGACGGGCTGAGGAGACGGAAGAGAAGGAAATAACACATTCATCTTCAAAAAGATCATAAAGATTGAATGGCTTTATCTGTCATATGCACACTAGCTTCAGCAGAGTTTTGGCTAGAAAACGATTGAGTCTTATTCTCCTCCAACAACGCATATGCTGTACATAAAAATGTAATGCAGGTTAAATCTTCTTATTCTACCAACTGTGAAGCACAATTTTAAATACCCAATACATTCACTTTACTTTGAATAACTTGCTTTTAAAAAACGCTATTGAGGTGAAGTGTGATATGAGTGTTTACTGACAGGCCACTGGGGGGCAGGAGGGCTCATGTTGGGGCAGTATGGATGTTGGAAGTAGGCCACTCCGTTGCTGTAGGTGTATGGAAACCCTGCAGATGTGTTCAGGTACTCGCTGTCACAGCTCATCGGCAGAGGCACGGTGAAGTAAGGGGTCGTCCTCTTAGCTGAGAGAAAAAAGAAAGTATGAAGAAGTAGTTACTCCCCTTGTTTTGTGGGACAGTAACTATTTGTGAAAAGCCAACACTCAGCTCCTTGGATCTAAAACAGAAACAGAGGGTGAACATATCAAAGTCTTTTTTTATAATGGAAAAGTTGACATGCTTTTGGATTCAAGTTAGAAAGAAATAGGAGATTATTTATGCACAAAATGTATTTAAAAAAACCCCATCTGAATTCAAGTTAATTTAGAGTTCCCACTGTTGTAAAAAAAACTGTTTCCCATGAAATAAATTGTGCATTTCAAGTAAAAAGGTACCTTCATATTTTGAAATGATGGCAAAAAAAGTGAATATGCTGAATAAAAAAAGTCGACTTACTTGGTCCTGAGGCTCTTTGCTTGCGGACAGCCTGAGCGATGCAGAGCTTCTTGCCTTTCAAACATACTCCATTAGTCTTTAAAAAAAAACGGAAAAAAAACTGCATTAGACATAAAAATCAAGATATTCAACTTTATAATTATACATCCATTAAATTCAGCTGCAAGATACTTTAATAACGTGCTTTACTCACATCATGAAGGACTTTCAGCGCATCTTCTTGGGACTCAAATGTAACAAAGCCATATCTGTTCACAGAGACACAAACAAGACAGACTATTATTGAACTGACTGCCAGTAAATCTGCAAATAATGCACAAAATCAAAAGCATAGAAAGTCATGGCTGCATGCATTAATATGTTTATGACACAATAACTCACCCCTTTGATATTCCAAATCGATCGCTCAGAAGCTTCACCTCTTTCACTGCCCCGTGTTGAGAGAAGATATGTAGCAGGTCGCTCGCTCGAACCTTCATGAAGACACACACACAGTTTTGACCGTTATCACACCAAAGAAGGTACAAAGGTTTGCTGATTTGGTTAAGGTTCAGACACTTAAGCCACCAGTAGGAGTTCGGAAAAACAGGATCCACCTTTGCAACAACTGCATGCAAGTTGGTTAAAACTTAATCTGCAAGATGTAGTTGTTGGCCTGAAAAAAAGCTATTTCTGGTATTTTTTTCTGCTATTTTCAGCAACATTAAGCCTAATCTGAATTATGTGTATTGTCATATCTTACACTCATCAAGGCATTTGCTTTTTACATGCTTCTCTGCTCTTCCGTGTTCTCCGATTAGGACTCAAAGGACTAGATATGGCTCTGTGTCAGTCTGCAGCTCTCACCTTGTCGTTGATTCCCCCGACGAATATCCGATTGGGGATAACAGTGCCGGGGCGAGGGGTGTAAGAGGTCAGACTGTCACCCTGGTTCTCTGCTGCTAACACATCAGGGGTGGAGGAGCTGCTGCCCTTCTGGGGTGGACAGCAGGATGAGAACTTCATAGGATACAAGACAATGACAAAAGGCCAGTAAGAAACAACATAGGGGTCACATTGTAGCACAGCATGTGGAGACTTTTATTGCATTTGATGTGATGGGAGGTGAAGCTTTCCCGCCTGGAAAGACACATAGTACTAAATTCCATTGTATTTAGCCTATATAAAAAGAAGATTTTTTTTTCCAAGCATGGTCAGTTATTCTATGTCAGATCAAAAGAAAATCAGCAACACTTTTTACATCAACACACTGCAACTTTTCAATCAATCATTGAAGTCCACATAACAAAATAATAAACTTTGTGTCTTTTAAATCAGACTATGTTGATGCACGTGCAGCCAGCAGATACAATCCATGAGGTTACAAATGTCTACTGTATCTTATTGCTGCTAAATATTCATTTCTGTACACTGTGTCACTCTTTCAGTCATTATGTATCTTTTTGTATCTCACCTTACTCTGAGAAAACCAACTTTTGTAGCATTTCTGCATGTTAGCTTGGCATACACAGTAAGTTACTCCCTTAACAGTTTTACAGACACAAATCTAATCTTTATGCACCAAGTGCTTCTCTCTAGCTAATTTAGCTCATTTCCAAGGTTAGCAAGGTTAATGGGTTAGGTTAGCATTCTTGCTAGCTTCGTTTTAAGTTAACTGAGCTAATCTAAACGAACGAAACAGAAAAACAATTAATAATGTGAGAGTAATTAACTCATGACGAAAAATTACAAGCTATGAAGTGCAAAAATGACAATGTAATGTAACTATATAATATGATAACATTGTTTTGTTAGCATTAGCTTAACGATTAGCCAGCAAGACGGTTACGTTAAAGGCAGATTAAGCATTTAACTCACCTCGTTTTGTTTTTCCTCTTCCATAGCCACATCCATTTGGTCCCAAAGACGATTTCTGGTTCACATATAAAAGTTATCATGAACTTATAAAAGACTCGCTAATAGTTTACGCTACGTCATTTGCGTCCTGACGTGATATGACCTCATCGATCACGCGTTACGGCAACGACCATGGCAACGACGGAAACCGTCAGCAGCGATATGCCTGCATCAATAATGGATCAAAACGGGCCCTTTCTAGTTGAGAAAACATTATAAAAGGACCCTTAGAGTGGTTCTTAATGGACAATATGGGAAAAAGTAACCCTTAGGCCGCAAACACATTATATAATTAGCTTTGGGCTATCCTTCTAGTAGAGAAAACGCTATTTGTGCCCTCTGGCTGTAGAAAAAACGTGAACATTTGACCTCCTGGTGACCTTCCAATGGCTAGTTAACATGTTGTTAATTCATTTATTTAGATTATTATGCTATACAATCTTAAACTGAATTAGTATTTTAAATACATACAATTAAACATGGAAATTGGGACCTACGTGGGAAAAATAGGGTTTTACTTATCATTTCTGTCTTGTAAGTAGTAGGCTACACATCATCATGGTGCAGTAGAGGATGCTGCCCACAAAGGGGCGCCATTCCTCTGTGAATACAAAGGTCTTGAAGGGACGTCTTCATGCCCTCTTTAAATCTGATAATGAAAAGTGTAGGTTATACTAACATATCACTACATGTCTACATCTGTTTGTGTTTTGACTAAACTTAGCATACTGTATTTATATATATATATTCCATTTAATGCAGGAGTGTCAAACCTGCTGTGACAATCTGTTCCATTATTTTTAAATGAATTAATGAGGGTTAAATAAATGGATGTGAAAGAGAGTTTTCATAGGCCAGATCAAATAAAACAGAGCTTCCACACAAGTCTAATTTTTCCACTTTCGATCCTCAAGACGCCACTTTATTTGTTACGTACAAACCTCATGGAGCTATAATTTCTTTATGATTGGCGACAAAGTGCTGAGAAACACTGTCATTTGCATCTTACTCCCTCCACCTCCTCCCTGAGACCACAACAAAGCATCACTACAAAGCCTACTAAGTGCCTCCAACAGAGAGAAAAGCCACCAGTAATAACTGGGGAGGACAGGGTTTTAAAAATATGCCTATAGGTTGTTCAAGATCCCATCAATACTATTGTTTTAAATCACCTTCCTCTGTTCAAAAAGTTAGTAGTGAGTAATTCTTCTCTGCCTTTCTTTTGCAAATTTCCCATCAATACAACCTCCTTTTTCCAGATTGTTTGTCCTCATCGGAGTAATGTGAGCCACACCATTACATGTCATTCATTTCCCGCTTTTCTTAATTGTCGGGTGAATTTGCCAACGAGGTCTGACTGTGCGAAATGAGAAGGGCATGTTTGATAATTACAGCAATTTACCAGCTAAAACGTCTTTTTATGCTCCACGAAGATCATTTAAAGACACAAGTGCTGTCAGGGCAACTTGACTGGCTGAGTTTGGACAAAAAAACAAAAGAACAGAGTGTTAGGGTTTTATTTACAGGCTGTTTTACTTTTACTCTTTGTATTGACGAGTCTAGCTGATTTCCTGTAATATTAGGTCCTTCTAATTATAAGGTTTTTCTTTAATGATCACACATGCAAGGTTATAATGTTGCATTAGAGCCATTTTGCTAAGAGGGAAAAGGCGTTGTGTACTGTAACAAAAGCGTGATTTACGAAGGCATCTATTTTCTCCCCATATGAATAAACAACACCATAGGCTCGAATCAAGACCACTTTCTTTTAGTTGCACACTTGTCTTGGACTTTTGCCTTTTTAAATGGTCTTGGTCTTGAGTGTGACGCGTAAATGAGTATGTTTTATAAGCCCCTAATAGGGCAATTTCTTTCATATCTTTGTCTTAAACAGGACTCAATTTGCTGTGGATTCGGTCTTGACTTGGTCTTGGACTTGACTAAAGCCCTGTGAAACAAACTCCAAAACTTTTACTTCCTGTTTCCATAAAACACTTTCCTTCCTGCCATTCATTCTGTCATCCGCCTTGTTTACCTGAAATGTCAGGATGTAAGTAATGTGAGGGGAACGACCAGAGAGAAACAGAATAAGACGGCAGGTAAATCCCAATCAGTTTCAACGTCTCCAGAGGGAAGCAATGGTTAATGTCTCGACTGTTTGACGCAACTCTGACACTGATGGATATGCTGGGGTTAAGGGGTTTGGACTTGAACTAAAATATCCTGGTTGTTTCTTAAAGTTTCCACTCTTTGTGAAAATCTACGGTCCTCCGAACATGTGACAAATAACTGACACATGTTTTAATTGAATGGGCAAGATGTCATCATAAAGTAGTAGCGCCAATCTATCTTGCAAGCTTTAAAAAAGTTACAATAATTCATCTTTCATCCTGTGATTCCCTTCACAAATGTAATGGGTTCTTCTTTGGACCATGCTGCACCCTTTCACAAAGTTTTATAAATATCGAGACAGTATTTTTCCGTGTTCCTGCAGGCAGAAACCAAACAACCAAACATGTCAAATGTCTACTAAAATGTCAGCTGTGCAATCTTGAGACTCTTTAGTGGATAAAAGCAGAACAAATCGAGGTCAAATATCAGGTCAGACATGCATTTCCCATGGAGAAAGCGTCCATTATACCTCAGTGGGTCAGTCAGTCAGACAGTCGTGGAGACAGAGGTTGATGAAAAATGAGCCATAACAGAAGGGTTCGACTCTGGCTCTGTAATTACTCTACAAATCTCTGATTTCCCCTCCTTCATCTCCACACTATTTATAGCTGCTGCATTCCTCCCGGAGAATAAAATGATCTCTTTGAGACAGTACAATGCCAGAAATAACAGGTTTGGACAAACATTTGCTGAGGCGTGGTGGGCCTGGCTGACCATTACTGAGTTCCACTGTGGTTTCGGTCCTCTGTTTTTCCCCCTCGTCCATTTATTCATCTGTTATTCTAAATGGCAGTGGCTTTGCTGGGGGAGGCGGCGGGGAGATGTGATGGTTCAACAAAAGAGCTCGTATGAACTGAGATGAAATCACTTTGTAGTCTGGCAGAGCAGAGCAAGGTCGAACGTTTTCCTTACACGAGAGGACACACACACTCTGGTAAACACACACCTTCATGTCTGCGAACACTCAGGTGACTACAGGGCTCAGACCTCCCTCTTTGTGAAGCATGTTGTTTATGTTACAATCATAGGACTTCACCGGCAAATATGATCAACTTGGACATGTGGCTTTATGTATATGCAATCATGTGTCTTTGCATGCGAGTGTGTTTAGGTTATCAGAGGAGGAAGGCTTTCCTTTAGTCTGTGCTTCTTGTCAAATGTTGTTTGTCAGGACAAAACAAAGATCATATGGAGCCTGCGTAGCATCAAGGATTCATTTTCAAATGATTCCCCCCAGTATTTAAGGAGTAAGTCGAGACTTTTTCGACAGTATTACAGCGTAGCGATATCCAGAGAAATTGTGTCTTTTAAGATCTTATTTTATTTCCTCAGTTATCCAGTTTTCTGGTTATAGTAATGGACTAAACTAAAATCAGTGACACATTCAAGTTCTTTTATAATAGTTTGACATTCCAGGGAAAAGTTTATTTTCATTCCTGGCGAGAGTTAGATAAGACGATCGCAGAGATTTGGATGACTTTAGACTCATCTTACAAAATCAAAAAAGACTTGCAACTTGACTAGGAACTGAACACAAAGGACTTAAACCCGTTGCCTTGAAAATACCTTCCTTAACAAAGGGATTTTAAAAAGTATGCTATTTAAAAAGAGTCCATAAATCCGTTAAATTCCCTTTATTTAGTCTGTTTGACCGCCCCAACCACATCCAATCAAATCGCAGGAGAGAACAGTTATACATAATGTTATGTATTTAAATAGCTTTGTTAGTGAAAGAAATTTATGAGGTATTATGACTTTTGGCGTTACTTTATTGAGATGATAGAAAGGCCCTTTTCACAGCACAATTCTGCGATAGCAGGAAAGGCCCTCGTGCAATTCCAAAGCAACATTTAACACTATTTATTGATCAACGCCATAAAAGATATTGTATGAACATCACTACAGTATATTGTCCCTGATTCTCTGGCTTTCTCCAGCGGTTGTTTGCTCTTTTGTGAAAACGCCTCACCACAATGGTGTTGCATTCCACAGCGACACCCGATGATTTCTCTAAATGTAGACATATTATTTAGGGTTTTATATGCTGGGGCCCTGGCTGTAGTTAGTGGGTGTGCACACACTGACCTACAATAAAGTAAACACACTAAACTGGGCTCTGGCCAGTGGAAGAGAAGTCAAGTCTGTTGGCTTTTCTTCACAATGTACAAAAAATACAACAATACTATCCCCCCTTCCCAGGTATAAGCAGAGTAACACAAAGCTTTGTGATGAAAGGACACTTAATACCAACGCAGGACTGAATAAACAGGAAAATAAGGTTCTGTGACGTGTGCAAAACTGCAGAAATGCTGAATATAATTCCCTTTATCTACTGGCTGTGGCTCGAATCAGGCCTACAAGTCCTTTGGGATCAAAAGCAGAGAATTGCCAATCGTAGCTGTACTTATTTACGAGTTTCTGCTCCATGTGACATTTTGAATAAATCATGGTTCACGGGGGAGAGTGACAAAGACCGAGGGGAGGACGAGTCAAGCCATTCTGCTATCATTTTTTCAGATGCGGGATCATGAATTATTTGGCAGCAAGATAACACACATTCTGCATTAGATTCACGGCCCAGTGCACCTGCAGATTTTCACCCCCAACACACACACACACACACACACACACACACACATACACACACACACACAGGTTTGTTGCCCTGCCCCTCCTGACACCCTGTTGTTTGTGTATTGTGAATGTAGGTCAGTAGCGTGTGTATGTGTTTCCTTTTGAGTGTGTGTTTACTGTATGTGGCAGCAACGGACGCACAGTGTGCAATAGAGGTCTCTTGACACAGTATGAATCTATACACACACACA